TATATGACGAAAAAGTAAGATACGGAACCGTTTGCCAGCTGCAACATAATATTAGTATGCTTCTATGTCGTCCCGTTGAGATATACGTTCAAAATATTACAATATGTAAAATGTTTTACCGTAGTGCAACACTCCAAAAATACTACAGACAATCCACCGACATGCAGACCAAACGTCTTACTGCTTCTTTGTAATAAAAATAATATCACAGTTTTTGCGTATGCAAAGGAATTATATACCACTGAACTTCATGTCTAATATAATAATGACATGATAAATCGGTAATTTGAGAAAAATAACAATATTTATAAATAATTTTGGAAACATATATGACATATATATAACAATTATATGTGGAACTATATATCTTTTTCTACACCATTTTAACTTTTATTTAATTTTTAATATTCAAAAAATAGAGAAGCGATATTATTATACATATAATATAAACATATTTCTTACGCAGTGGTAAATACATGATTACCATGATTTGTAATTTCTTGTCCGACAAGATTGGCTATGAACATATATAAAACACAAGTGGCTGCTGTCATAAGAGGTATTAAAAGTTCTTCAACACGAAAATTTAACGATATAATTTGAAAAACCTAACGTGCAAATTCGAATATGTTGTGATTAGTTCATAAAACCAGTATAATTATGAAATTTATTTCTATTTTTATCGAATTACTAGGCAATTAAAATTTATACGACTTTGTGTTCGACATTACTGCATAGAAAAGAAAAGTTTATGTAATTTTTTTGCAACATTCTAGTTTAAAAATTGCAAATATATTTAAAATTAAATTTTTTAATATTAAATATTTATATATAACATGAGATGATTTCTCAAATCAAATTGTCAAGCAAATCTTGTTAAATACTCAAAGTATTTGTTAGTAACATAAGATACGAATAAAATAGAAGATTTCTCTGCATTTATAAGTTTTTATTCTCTCTCTCTCTCTCTCTCTCTCTCTCTCTCTCTCTCTCTCTCTCTCTTCTCTCTCTCTCTATTAATGACAATTAATAATTATTGTTTACAATTTATTAAGCTTTCCGATGTATTCATATAATTTTCCGTGTTTGTTTAAAATTTATTTAATGTAATGTTGTTTAAAAAACGTCATATTTGCAATATGAAATTATAACTTGCAAACAATATTTATTACTAAAACAATAAGTTTGCTTGGGACATTTTTTAAATTTTTCAGTGCTTTTATTAGAATTCTGTCAGAATTTTTAAAAAAATATTAAGTGTTAAATTAAAATTTTTGATGGTTTCTATCAAGTTATATTAATTATTATTAATTAAAAAGAAAAAATATGATAAAAAAATAGATTAAATTTTTAATTATTTTATTATACTAACTCGTTTTTATAATACATTTCGTAAAAATTTATTTGGCCATACGAATAAAGATCGATTCTTCTTTTTTTTACATTTTGCATAAAAAATGCTACCATAAAAGTTTATTTTGTTAATACTTGACTCGTGAATTTTTTATATGTCACGCTTTATTCGCTCTAATGTAAAACCTACTGTATCGTTTTTATTGAATTTATGCTACTGTTGTATTAATACATTTAATGATGTATTTTGCCGTCATTGTTGCATAGAGTACATGACAGTAAAGTAAGATATGGATGCATTTGCCATCTGTAACATATCCGCTTTTACTTCGAATCTGTGAGATAGATAATTTGTTAGAATATATAAAATATTGTATACCGTGGTAAAACATTGTAAAGATGCTACCAACAATCCGACTTTCAGACCAAAAGATTTCTTTCCATTTTGCAACAGAAATAATATCAATCTTTGTATATGTAGAGGAGCTATATACCATTGAATTTCGTACCTATACATAATTTCAACACGATAAATCTCAATTATTAAAAAAAAATTAATATATTTATGAATAATTTTTGTAATACATATTTTTGTTTTGTGTTTTATATTACATTTTTGTTACTAGAATTGAATAGAACAATTATAAAACTATTCTTACGCAGTGACAAATATGTGATTATTATGATCTGTAATTGCTTGTCCAATAACACTAGCTAAGAGCATATATGAAAAGGCGAACAATATAAATACAAAAATAATTACAATTTCTTCAATATTATCTTTACTAGATGTTACGATCTAAAAAATTCAGTGTATTAATTTCAATGATTAGTTCAGTTTTGAAATCTTATAAATATATATATATTATATATGGATATATAGATAACATACACATACATAATTACGTCACACTTTAAAAATATATTATGTACAAAAAAGTTCTTAATGTACAAAAAGTTCTTATATCAAATTCCAATTACAATCACTATTTATTTTTTTAGTTTAAATCGATATTACAGTTAGGACTATAAAATACATGAAGATTGTTATGTAAATTTGGTTAATCAAACGTATTGATAAGTATGCAATCACAAACGTGTTGATATATAAAATAACATTAAAAAATGTCGCACAAGACTAACATGCATTCATAAACAAAGAACAAAACTTACACAAAACATATTGAGACTCAAAGAAATTATTCCGAATGCTATTAGAAACATGAATGATATCTCAAATCTGGCCATTAATAGCTTAGAAAACCTTTAACACGAAAAATATATACCATTACTGCGCGTACTATATATTATATTATGGGATAGATACCAACGTTATAGCTTTGCGATGAATATCTACAGCACAAACTATGTTCTCATTCTTGATCGACAGGTTAATACTTTGTAACGTATAAATCTGCATCGAGTTTGCTATGCGATAACTGTGAATAATTTACAAAGTAAACTAATTATCCTAAAAATGTGCGATTGTAATTTTGCTGAATTGGAGCTGTAGCAATAATTTTTAATGTCTTATGCCCAGTTCCACCAACGTAGATTAACTTTAATCTCGGTTCAACTTATTCTTCATTTTTTTCTAATTCTTAGAAGTAAAAAAAGATGACGAATAAGTTGAACCAAGATTAAAGTTAATCTATATTGATGGAAATGGACATTAATAACATAAATTAATTAATTACTTACTAATTTAAGATTTTTTTATATGTACTCGTTGTTCTTGCAAGACGAGTAACATTTTTAAGAATATACAAAAAAAAAACAATTATGTCTAATATTAAAATTTTTAGATTTTTTGTTTTACCTAGCAATTCTAAACATTGCACAAATATGTAGTAGATATGCCATAAGTAATGATTCTGTTCCTAGCAAAGCAATCATCCCTATGATAGTTGCGACCCCGTAGAATAATAACAAATAGAAATATTTTTCTTGGTCGTCAATATGTTGAGTCATAATCGGCAAGCGACGTGATTGAGACTGGTTTACTGATAAAATAATGTGCAAAAAATCCTGCCATAATTGGGTCGTTACAACTATAAACGCTCCAATAAGGGCAAACGCTAAACAATATAAATGAATCATATCAATTAATATTATAGCACAATATCAGGAATAGTATTTTCAAAATTTTTTTAATTAAACGCTCATAACATGAACGAAAGAGTTTGTAGAACTCAAGTTATTTTTTACTCAATAAACGTTTTGAAATAATAAATTAATTAATCGACTTGAAATATAAAGCGCGTAACACAAATCAAAAGATAATATCTTACTTGTAAGTATAGTTGTGAAGCGTTTTGCATTATCTCCGTACTTTTCTACGATGGCGATTTCGTGATGGTCCTTCAAATTTTCATAAATATGTTGAAATTGTTCCATTAAATATTTCACCTGTTGTTTTAACGAGTTTTATGCTATTTGTCTCAGAAAATATGAAGAAGATTGATCAAATTTTTATGTGTAGTTTTATTTGCCCTGTGAATTTTTGTTAAATAAAATAGATATTGAACTTACTGTTTCGGCGTTGATGTTAAACGAATTATATTTTATCGCCAAAAGAATGTAACCAAATGAGAAAGAAAAAACCTTGATAACGAGGTCCACAGTACATACTGAAGTCACAAGTGTTGCAAGCTGTAAAAATAATTGTTCTTTTTTTCAAAATAAATTGATTGAAGAGTTTGTATGTAATAATATATGTATATAATGATATGATCAAGATATCGTGATGTACCTGAAACATAATACAACTTATCAGAATACTAAAGAAGCAGACAAATTGAATTCGAGCAAGTTTCGATTTTTCATAAGGCCACAAACCAACTGTCAGCAAAAGAGTCCGGTTGAGACTGAAATATTTATCCTCGACATTAATCATCTCTCTGCTGGCACTAAAACGCATTTGACGGGAGTGAAGACGGCAAAGGCTTGCTCATCCCCACTTTTATTTAGTTTATTATTCCCTCTCTTTTGTAGCATAAAATGTAGCGTTTCGTAATTTAATGTAATTTCTGGAATTCAGTTCAAATGTATAATGCATGGTGGCACAATGTACTGTTATGAGATCGGAACGTTCGTAATTTACTATTTCTTAAAAAAGCGAGCGTCGATTAAGTAATTGCTCGAACATCGAAAGAAATGCAACAAATGCGCTTTTCCCATAGCATCTACGAGAGAAGTTCTGATGTGAAAGCTATAGTATAGTAAATTTTTCAGTGCTACTTTATTTCAAGCATTTACACGTCTGTCAGAGACAGTTCTAGTTTTTTTTTTTTTTTTGCTAAAACATAATTGCCATTTATATCCTCCTCTGCTTTTTTATTGTTCACTTTATATATTTTTTTGCGAGAAGAAAAAATGACGATTGAAAAATATCTCCGAATATAAAAATATGACTGTAGTGAAAGATCTCCGAAGACTTATCTATACATAACAAAATGTATCCATCATGTGTTTTTCTTAATTTTATTTATATATGTATGTCCAGCTAGTTTAAATTTAATATATCTTTTCTGTTATTTCAGAAGATCGATTATATAATTTTTCCGGTACGGCAATATAAGAATGTAAGAAAATAGATTATTGTACAAAAGATTGTTCATGTAACGTAGTAAGTTTTTTCAAGTTTTCTTTATTAATTACATATGTGAGATTACAAAACAGGAATATAATTACGTAAATCACATCAATTTTTTTAGGAACAACAGAGAAGAAAATTATTGCATATTATACATGTATACAATAAAGAATACGAAAATCTCGCGTTTAATTTCAATAAGAAATCTTGAACAAAATTAAAATTGAGGGACTTGTGCGCGTGTGTCGGAAAAGAAGAATAATATCCATTAGATACATAATTAATATTACGTCAAATAATGGTAATTGCATTTATTGACAGGAAGACATTTACGTCGCGAGATAAAACACACTGTGCTTTGTAACGCACAGCGTTGTGACTTTGTTTTTGAGTGATAAAAATAAACGTAAGTTAAAGGGCTTTTAGCGAATAAAAAGATCAAAGACGCATTACGGCTCATTCGCGCTCGACGATGATGCATCGTTTCTCGCCACATGCGAGCTTTCGTCTTCAGCATTTTCGGCACCGTCAGTGGACGATGATTCAGGTACCTGTATAAAACACATACTGTATAAAAGAACAATTCGTCGCAGCATACAAAATAATTTCGTTTTCGGGTTAATTGCGTTTTCTCACCTGACGAGGTGATTCGGACAGAGTGGACGGTAATCTACGGCTGGGTAAGATGTCCGGCATAGGTGGTGGAACCGGCGGTTCGCCGTAGACGTCGTGAAGCTCCTCCAATCTCGTGCAGAGAGCGTCGCCTCGTTTGCTCGTAGCGTTCATTTTCTTCATAAGCCAATCGGCCTGCTCCTCCAAGCGTTTTAATCGATCGGCACGCGTCGCTAAAACTTCCTCTGGAGTTCGAGATTTGGCCGAAGTAACCGTGGCTTCCCTCGGCGAGCTTGTTGCGCTCTCCTTACACGCCGATGTAGATAAAGGCGTAGGACTGCGATCAATAGTAGGAAATTCTCGAACTGTGTCCAAGCTCGAAGAGGAATCTACGGAAATGCTGTCGGAATCTATGACGCTTTCTGTCGGTTTCGAGGATTCCTTGCCTTCCATTGCCTCCTCTTCCTCCCTCGACGACGAGGAGGATCGAATGACGGAGGCGACAAGAGAATCTGTAGAATTGTCCAATTCTGCCGCGCCGAACACTGGGGAAAATCGATTAGACGGGCCCACGATCAAGGGATCGCTGAATTGCACGCTCTTTATGGACGAACACGGTACAGTTAGCGTTGGAAGGGGCCCGATGGAAAAGACGGGCATCGTGCTAGTTGTATTCGCAGCCGTGACGATAGGTACGTGAGAAACGGGTAATGACAGGACACTTTCAGATTTTGTTATCTCGTCAACGTCGTCGCGTCGCCTGGACGAAGTTGTTGACGCTACGTTCGACGATTCAGTCAATTCGCCGTTGTCCACCGCCGAAGGCAGATCGACGCTCGTGGCTGATCGCTTCAATGTCTTCGCGGTAGGCAGCAAACACCAAAACTCGGTGGTCGGTCCTGGATTTCTGTTACAGAAATCCGTTTTGGAACTTGTCGCGCGATCGTTCTCCACATTGCCGTCGGTTTCGGGAGTCGAATTATCGCGCGGATCCTCCGTCATCGAGTCCTCCCGTAAAATCGAAATGTTTCCGTCTGATTTTGTATTGTCGATTTTTATCAGATTCTGTATGACGTTAGTGAGAGCCTGGTCCAAAGGATCTAAAATTTCCGGCGTATTTTCCACGCTCGGCTGTTCGAAGTTATATATTAATTAGCTAGCAATAAAACGTACAATCCCAAAATTTAGAATCGCTCGTTTAGTATGTAAATTAAATAGATGCGATTTGCTTACGGCAGATTCCGATACGGGATCAATAGGTTCTGAGTCGATATGCGCGACTTCTGCCTCGTCCAACTCCGCTTCCGTCTCCGGCGTAGGTGTGCGTTGTTCCAAAGTCACCGAGGAACCAGTCTTCGATTCTGACAGTTCGGTATCCGTCGGTTGCTCGGATTCTGTGTCCGGTGTCGGCGCTCTAGGACTCTCCTGTTTTAATATTTAATTCTTGTTGTCGATATGTTCAAAATATTGGACAATGAATAGTTGTGAAAAGCAAGGATAACGTTTGCGCACCTTTCGTGTCCGTCTTCGTAGACCGTGTCTGATTCTTCCTTCGATCGCCTCCTCTTCTTCGTCCGAATCATCGCCTCTCTCATCGCTAAAGCCACTTTCGGCGCTGCACGGAATAGTTGGTGTTAATAAGAACCGTTGCCTATGCAAATGCTCGGATCAGCTAAGCTGTATAACAAGGGCAATAAAACGCGCGGAGATTTTGCCGACGCGTTCGTTTACAAATTTTACAAACATTAGACAAGTGTCGCGAGGAAACGAATACAATGTATCGTATTCGAAATAAAGATATAATCTTCGTATATCGTATTCTTGGAAATAAGGATATAATTGCTTGAACGATAAAACGAAATATAAAACTTGAAATATAAAGCTTGAACAGTTTGAATAAAAAAGTCAGAGAAGTTATTGAATAATTTTTATTTTATAATAAATAGCGAGAAATATTTTAATTTTGAAATTCTTTTTATTTCTTTTATTTCTTTGTGAGATCTTTAATAAAAGTTTGATTTAATAAGTATCAACAAATTTCATAGCAATTTATAATAGTCAATGATAAAATTAATAAATATTAATGCTAAGAAAAGGAAAAAATAATAAAATTATTAATTGTTAAGATTTAAAAAATTAAATTTTTGTTTGCAATAGCTACAAATCTCATTATTTAGAATTATCAAATTAAATATTAAAAATCAGATATCAACAATTATGAATTTCACCTGTTAAAAGAATCGTGGGCAGCCAAAGCTTTCCGTGCGGCGAACTCGCGGCGTAAGCTTCTCCACTCCAGTTCGGTGTTCGTGTTTTTCTGTCTGGCCGATTCCCATTTTTCTCTGCAATATTCTAGCTCTTGTTTCAACTCCTGCAACATCTTCCTCTTCTGTTGCAGCTCATATCGCAGTATTTCCTCGTGCGTGTGCAATTGCTGATGCTGCGCTTGCATTCGGCCGACGATATTCCACGTTTTGGCCAGTTCAGTCGACACCATCGAAAGTCTCTTCTCCTAAATATTGAAATAATAGAATTTAATTTCCGTCGTTTTATGATTTCCTTCATAAAACAGTGAGCAAATCGCTTGCCTGCTCGCCGAGCTTGCTCTCTAAATGAGTGTTCAGTTGCTTCATGCGATTCATCTCCTTCTCCAGGTGTTTCTTTTCCAAAATCAATTCCTTCAGACGTATGTACGTTTTGCTGACGGATATCACTAATCTTGGACCGGCCGGAGTGTCCACAGACTTGTAACAGCTGTTCGGATCCGAACAGGATGCAACGGAAACGCTCGGAGAGGTCACCGCGTGGCAACTAAGTAATTCCAGTAAAACGCGCCACACCTACGACATAATTTTGCAGTCAGTTGAATTGTGTCATGTTGCGTGTTAAGCTCTTTAGAAAGGCGATAGTTCCAAGTGTCACACTACGCTTAAATCGGCGTTTAAAAAATTAGATGTAAAAATTGTCTCAAAACTTAATATATTATTTTTGCACATCGACCTTGGGCAAATTGTGAGCGATATTTTCCTCTTGCAAATCATCTTCCTTTCTATCAATTTCGCCAACATTCTCTTCGTCGTTCTCCTCACTCGCGTGCTTCTGCGACGCTTTACCACCTTCGACTTGCTCAACTAAGTCTAAAAGAAGTTTAGGAAGAGCCGCTGCCTCGGTACTTTCTTCTCTGGCTATGTCACTAATGAGATCATGATTTTCCTGTAACGTTAAAATTAAATATAAATTTTCATTCGTCACTTTTTTTCATCTATATTTTTCTCGCGAAATTTGCAGTTGTTCTTTTCCAATAAATACGTATTTAAATATTAATTCCACGTTTAGCTAAAAATAATTATTATAATATATATTAATTATATTATAATAATTATTAAAAATGTAAATAACGAGTCAGCATCGCGATACCTGCAATAGTTGAGTTAACCGATCAAGATCCATATCCGCGGAGGAAGCTCCGAGCAGCATCTGCGTGAACAATCCGTTGATGAGAGACATCTGATTTTGAAGATCTCTGCAATCCGCCTTGGTTAATCCCAGTTGAGATTCCAGATTCGTAATTTCCGAGTCTTGCGCGTCGACCTGGCGCACGTAACATTGTCATAAAAATCTACGAATTCGAATGTTCAACAGAATCGAGTGCCTCGATGTCTCGGTACCTTTTCTTCGGCTTTCTTCAGTTCCTCCTCCAAGTTTTCGGATTTCTTTAGGGTGTATTCCAGCTTTTGCTTCACGTCCGTCAGCTCTTTAATCGCCGAATCTTTCAGCTCGGTCAAAACTCGCAGTCTCTCGTTGTACAGAGCTTTCAGCGCGTTGATATTCTCCAGCTGCCGATTGCATTCAGCTCCCGCGTCGTCTCGAACGTCCAGAAAACTTCTGTCGCCTAATCTGACTAGCACTTGCGCCAGATAATTCTTTAGCTCATTAGTCCGCCGTTCTCGCGCAACGAGAGACTCGCGTGACTTGCTCGACACTTCCGCCAAGCACTGAATACGGCGCCGGTGACGCTCCGGATCGGTCTCTAGATGGTAACGAAGGTCGTCCACCTTCTCGATTTGGTATCGCACGTCATTCCTTAACTCGTCGGACACCTGAAACAAATATGTGTATATGTGTGTATTCTTATTCACGGAATTTTATTCTAGAGCGAATAAAATGTACGCGGCGCGCGATACCTTCAGCGTGTTCGTTAATCGCAGCGCTTCTGCGCGTCTCAGCTCTTTCTCGTTTTCATCCGCGCGCTCGCGCGCTTCTTGTTCTCTCGACGTGGACTTCGAATTGCCACTCGCGAGATCGAGATCCTGCGAGTCGCTGCGAGCGGAACGCAAAAGAGCCAGCACGTTCGACGTCTCGGAATGAGCTTCCTTTTCGGCGTCCAATTCTTTTCGAAGTCTCTCCATCTCGGACGAGACAGCCGCGATTGCTCTGTGCCTAGCTTCCCTCTTCAACGATAATTCCTTTTTAAACTCCTCTATATTGGTAGCGGCACGATCTGCAGTCAATGCATTCTCCGATTCTTCGTCTATCGAGTCGACAACATCTGCAATAATATAAACATCCTATATATAATATTATTCTTATGGCCTAAAAAATCAGCAAAAATAAATTTATTACTTACTTTTTGTAAAAACAAAACAAACATTTTTTAATTTGCTTAGACGCAAAAGTTGAAATTTTAAAACAAGAAATATATAAGCTACTTTTATGACTGGCACATATAGCATACCGATATCCTCTTTCGAAGCAACGTCGTTCTCGTTTCCTTTTTCAGTCTTGATAGTTTCCTTCAGTCTTTGAATCTCCTGCAAAGCGTCCTCGAAAGCCTTAATTTGCTTCTTTTTGTCCGAAACCTCTTCGGACAATTGTGCTTGCAGCTTTGACGCCTTCTCACTTTCCGCGTTTCTGATCTCCTCTTTCTCGAGCAACGATTTTTGCAGATCCTTTTCCAGTGTCGAAATTCTCGCATCGGCAGTGTCTTTTTCCGATTGAAGGACACTATTTCTTTCCATCAAGTTCGTGATTTCCATTTTCGCCATGTACAAATGCCTCGACATATTGTCGTACTGTTGTTCGTGCTCATGAAAATCAGCTTCTACCGTCGCGTATCGTGCTTTTAGTTCCTAAAAAATGTACAGTTTTTCTTCCAAATATTTTAATGTAGAATAATTTAATCTGCAGCTTAAAAATCACATACCTCGTAATCTGCGGTCAATTTCTTCACCAGATCTTTTTGGTCATCCAAATTGCACAGCAGTTGTTCGTTCATACTTCGACATTGTAGTCGATCGGCTTCTAATATCACAATCTTCCGCGACAGCATCTCTTCGTCCGTCTCTTCGTACAGGTTTTCCTGCCCGTCGTCTCTCAATCTCGCGCGTCTTTTGTGCATTTTGTCTAAATCTACGCTCGCGGAACACGAGCTCTCGTCTATCCTAGGAACACTTGATTCGGAATCATCGGAGTGAGCGCATCTGTGAACATCCGTTCCTTCTGTCGCCGCATCTTTATACTCCTCGCGATCTTCAGGTACTTCACTAACAGTGTCAATCGCGATATCATTCGTTCGTTGCTGCGACGATTCACAACACAATTCCGCGGATCTCGAACGACTGTTGTTTGTATCTCGTGTCATCGAAGAATTCTCAAATCTCTCGATTCTAGAACGCGGTTTGTTATCCTCTTGACCTTTTTGTTTATACTGTCCAACGGAACTCGTCGCCAGCAATCTTTCCAGACTAACGACACGCTGCTCTAATTTGTGCGTTTCTTCGCTCTCTTCGGCGTTCCGCATTCTTTTCCGCAGAATGTCGTCGCGAATTTCCAGAGCCTCCGTCGAAATCCTTCGTTTTTGGTCCTCCTTGTCCTTTGACAGCTCTAAGTACAATACTTCCATACGCGCCAACACGGTATTGTGCGCGCTGGCTAATTGATGATTAGCCATAGCTAATTGCGAAATGATTCGTGAAAGCTCCATGACTTCGTTGCTGTGTTGAAGCACCGAAGAATCGCGACTGTCGGCGGACTGCCAGCCTGTCATTTGCGTGGCGTATGTTAACTGAAATATAAATAGGTAAATAGATCTTGCAATCAAATTGTTTGTAGATTCTGATTCGTCAAAAACGTGAAAATTATCGCATATTGTCGCTTTATTTTAATTAAATCGGTAACAGTTTAATTATCTCTACAATTTTTTGTTTTTTAAAAGTGTCTGTATTATTATTTGCATTATAATGTTTAAACAATATTAAAACGATGGTAAGTTCGTAAATTTAACTATGACACGCGCACCTTGAACAATGAATCATCTATTGCCAAAGAAACAAAGAAGGAAACGAAGAGAACAAAGGAATATTTTCTTCTCTTTTTCGCAATAATTTTTCTTGCCAAATATTAACACGCGATTAAAAATTATGTTGCGCAAGCTTACAACTGTTTTCCAAGGGAAAAATATTTTTTCGGCGCTGTCAGAAAGAAACAATCCGCTCTCGACGATCCGCAATAGTACACTGGCGTAAAACTCAACACCGTGCGTCGCGCGAATCGGCCGAGATGAAGCACGTGATCGCGATCGATGACTGTGAAAACGACTTTTCGTGACCGTGAGTCAGCGTGTTCTCCCGAAATTGCAAATTGGAGAGGAGCCAGCTTGTCGCGACTAACAGAGACGGCTTCCGCGGAACAAAACTGCGCGTTTTTACCCGGAAAACTGTAGATGCCAGTCGGCGCGATGGCAATGCCCGAGTTTAATTTAGTTACAGTATCCACACAAGGACAGTCGAGTGAAATATCTGTAGCGCAGGCTCGAAGCCGGTTGCAAGAAAATGTGCGCGGCAATTTCGCCGTTTGTCAGTGGAAACAATGCGAGACCTTAATGCGACAAAAGTAAAAAAAAAAGAAAGATGGCTTACCAAGGTCTCGCGTTTAGGAGGTAACACGTTTGACAGACTGGGTGCCGTTGGTCTTTGATTCCAGAATTCGCCCGTTCTCAAGGTTGGGTATGAGCTTGGACCCTGCGCGAAAAGTTTTAAAATAAGTTCGATACAAAGCGCGTGTTTTTCTCGTGGAAGATGTACCTGCGATCGCGGCTGATCCTCTTTCTTATAGATATACGATTTTTGTCTCCTATCGTTTGTGGGATGAGCGTCCTCCGAAAACGTTTCCGCCGCACGTTCGCTCGTGGAGATCGGAGTCGGCGGACGAATACCGTTACTACTACTTGATGCACCCATCATTAAAGTTTTCTACTTACTAGAACGATAAGTATACGTATCTCGTGTATATAAATATATGCCTCGGTTATTTTTCCTGGAAATAATTATACGTTAAATCTTTAATTTTATCAACGGTATAACACTTTAGATTTAGAATAGATAATCTTGTTTTTTTCTTTGACGTATATATAAAGATATCTGTGGAGTTGCTTCAAAATTACAGTCTGCATTACGAATTTATTACAGAACTGTGACGATTTTTAAATTGTAATTTAACATAACGAGATTGCTCACAATTTGAATCACTAATCAAGTACGTCTATGCTCGGGTGTTTGAGTTGCCTCGAGAAAAAGTTTGGCTTCTGTCAGCTTTTATTTTTAGAAACTAATTTGATCTAGATTGCATCTTAATTCTCTTTAAAAAGTGAGTGAAGTAAAAAATTAATTAAAAACGGGTAGGCACTTGATTTTCAATTGTAGAAAAAAAATTATTTCTTAACAACGGAAACGAGTTGAATTATAGCATAAAACGCAGTCGTCATCACAGAAAGAGTTGCGTGATTAATGCTTGTTGGATAACAATCTACGTGTCATTATTTAATAACGAAGACGATAGTCCAGTGTTCCGTTTTTACAAGGATGACAGTTGCACAAACAAGTGTGGGATGTAATTAGTATCAAAGTATGAATCGCTCACCAATGGTCAAAAACGAAAAGTCTTGAAATTCGGTAGCTTCGATTTCTCGAGGGTCAACGACGACGCTTGACTACCATCGTTGCTAGCGGGCAGCGACTCGCATCTCTAAAAATACCATTTCGAAAGACCGCCTGCGCAAAGTCGACGTTATATCTTCGTGTCGGGCACTTGCGCAGATTGTACTACAGGCACTTCCGCGCGTGTTTCACAGAGGAAATCTTAATCGAACTTCCGCGATTGTAAGAAAACAAATTCATTAAGAGAATATATCGCAGAGATTTCTCGACAGAAATCATACTGCGCTGATTAAATTACATATTATTGGGATAAAATTAAGATAATGCGATATGAATTAACTATAACCGTTTAATTGAAAAACAATTTTTGATAAATATAAATCACATTTTTTGTTAAACAAATTTTTTTTTTATTTAACTGATAGATGCACGTAAATATTCATTTTTTAAATATTGTTTCTTGTTTTCTGTTATGATGTTATTTTATTTAAATTTGCAGTTCTTTATAAATAAATTCCTCGAGTCTCAAAAATAGAATGATGCCATAAATTCTTTTATTTAGATAATACGATCAACAACTATTTTAAAGCGCTTTCAAACTTTCAGACGGTACTGTAGATGCACTCGGGAAAACGTAAACGTCCTAACAATAGCATCGCACGTATTCTATATTTAGGTAGTTTTTCGAACTGTTCATCATCACTATCGCTGCGCACATTTCGAAACGAAGATCGATCTGGTTATCCTCACTTTTCCTTAGTAACGTTATATATTTAACATTGTCATTAAATATTAAATTGCTAAATAAAATAATTTTAATTTAAATATATGTAGGCTCTTGTTAATATAATATATTAATTACAAATATGACAAAGAGAATTTAGAGCCACCGCCAGATGTAATTGCATTAACAATCTTCTTATTTAATACTTATTAATAAATTCAGACGTTTCGGTGACGCTACTGTGTTATCTGCAACCAGTAGCCTGCTGTCCAACAGTTAACTTATTCTAATTTTTTATAGTATCTTGTACGATGATGATGACTAATGATCTCACCTTGATTTTAACCTCAATCATTTTCAGTTTATTGGACAATAACTTTATTGATTAATCACACTAAAGATGATCAGATGGTGAGACGTCTGAATTTATGTATTAAATAAGAAGATTAATGCAATTACATCTGGCGATGGCTCTAGATCCTCTTTGTAATTAATTTTAATTTGTTTAATTTAAATAATTTATTGCAAAATAGATACTCATTTTTTATTTAGTTCCAATTCTTCAATTAAGAAAAACCTTGTTTAAATAATGAAAGGACATTTTAAAATATATAATAAATATGGAATAAAAAACGTGGGATGAATAGTATGCAAGGTATTATATTTATTTAAAAATAAGGCTAGATAAAATTTATAACTTTTAGTCGATTTTTCTTTAACTTATGCCTACTGTCTCTCCCTTGTCACACGAGTCCTTAGCAACGGGTTGGCTACAACTAAGGGCGCACGGTGCCCCGACAGAGCGTCACGTACCTTAGTTACGGCCGTCTGGTGGCTCGTTGCTAAGGACGCGGGGTGGCAAGTAAAATGTGGATGTTAACTATGAAAATCGATTCGAGTTTGCTAAAAAAATTGCTAAATCTGTCTATCTTTAATAAAGTAAGGAAAATAAATAATTTTGTAATTTGGCCTAACAAATTGGTGTTAGAACCGCAAAGTCGATAACGTGTTATCGGACTTGGATACACTGTCTCCACAGATAAAAGACGCCGTCGAAGTATTTCTATGATCACATTCCAACGAGAGAAGCATTCGCTGAAGCGTTTGATATTTTATCGGCAAACCGCGAATTCTGCTGCGAGATTCTGAAAAGCGAAAATGGATCTAGGCAAACGTCATATACGCGGCGCGTTGGAAACATCGGCGTGACATCTTTTTTGACGTAAATTTCGGAAAATAAAACAGACGGAAAATTTATAAATATACGTATATTTAATAATGCATATTTTTTTATATAACAATCATACAGTTTTTGCCGCGCACTGAACGTGTGTGTCATCTGACTCAAAATGTTAGGCATTTCAATGAATTACAATGCAATTTTAAGAAATATAAATACATTTTTATTAATATAAAATTAATTAAGATAGGTTTACAGAATTTGAAAATGCTTAAAATATTTTTAACGTTATTAAAATATCCGCAATATTTACGCCTCGTTCCGCCCGGAAGTATCGAACTTGAGGTGCGAATGCACACCTAACACTTCATGTAAGACCGCGCGCGCGCTGACGCCGCGCTTCGGTGCCGCACTGCCGCCAGCCGTGTACCGATCGGCTCGACAAGGCCGTTCGTTGCGCGCGTCTGTCAGTCAGCGTTCGCGCACGAATGCGACGGTACGGTGGTCGGTCGTCGTGGCGGGTTTTTGCTCGGCGCCGCGCTCACGAGAGCAGCCCGAGAGCAGAGCAGAGCTGACGTTTCTATCCGGAGCGGAAAGAGCAGCGGCTCCATTCATCGCCCACGCTGACCGTCTGCCACTCTCTCCATCCCTCTCTTCACCCTCGATCTACGAGGAGCCAGGTTCCCGCAGGGAAGGCGTTCCGCCTGGCATTCGCAACGACAGGAGCTGCTTCCTCGCGCTATATCCTCGCGGCAAGTCCGGACAGGCGGACGAACCGAAGGTGAGAGAGAGCGAGGCGCGAATCCGTTCACGCCGTCGAACGCGGAGGACTCCCACGCGAGGAAGGGCTATTTTGCTTTCGGCGCGACGGTACTGGCGGGTTGCGAACGGACAGCCGGACTCTGTTGCGGCGCAACAGTCTCGAGGACGGATATTTGACAGGTCGGGGTCGGGACGCCGTGCAGCCGTCCAGTGAGAATGGCAGTCGTAGCACCACGGAGCATCGCACGGTTCAGATGACACGTAATAATTAACATACCAGGATCGCTATTGTGTATACATACGTGCGCGCTTGACGGGTGGCTGAGCGATCGCTACGCGAGACGTTGTCAAACAGCGGGAACGATCGCGCCGGCGGATTCGTTAGTAATTACGCTGAATTATCAAGATACGAGTTCTATCTGATAAAGTACGAGTGTGTTGGAACAATGTTTCCAAATTTAATTCGCTCTGCGCAATCTTAGAGCGCGGCGAAAACTGCGCATCCTTGCGATCGCGTGAATAAGGTCGCGCAAATGAGGCCGTGAGATCTTCTCTCCCGCGATTCTTATCTCGCGAGATTTAAAATTTGCACATATTTGAGAAGCATTGTTTTGATTCAAGCGATGTAACGCGAATTCGCATCTCAAAGTGCGGGAAGAGGAAACCGATAGCGCAAAAGTCTCTCTGTCTCTCTCTCTTTCTCTTACCGCGAGTGCTACGTAAAAGGCGTTTAACCGCGTGACAGGGTAATCCGAAGGAGCTGAAACGTGCTCATATCGTCTTTGTTAATGGCTTTCGTGGAGCTCCTCTTTATTACGGAAGGTCGAGAAGTCGATGCTCATCGACTATCCGAGAGGCGCGCGGTGCGGCGCGGTGCGCTGCGACCTTGATCGCCCACGTCGCTCGGTATGCCACCGGTATAGAGGTACGCACGACCCGCGCGTCGACGTCGATAATTCGCCACGTACATTCTCTCCGCGTGTCTCTCGCATTCGACGTTTTCGCGCCTCTCCACGCTGTGTGACAGGCGATCTGCGGGAAAAACAGCTCCCGCTTCATTGAACGGTTTAGCCTTTACGCTGGAATTTCTACGCGCTTCTTGATTTCCCCGTTACAGTCACTCGTGCCCGACTGTGATGCAATAAAATCGATGAAGTCTTCATTTCGCAAAGTAAAGCTGCTGTTCGGTTTTGATTTGAAAAACACGCCGTCGCAGGATCGGTGAAAATGAGGAAAGACGGAAACGCGAATGGAATTTTTGGCTCGAGCGGCTAATAGTGTCGTCAAGGTTGTGCGAAATTGCATTCATTTTTTTTTTTTCGTAACGCTCATAATGGAAGCTGTTTCGTAACTCTGAAACGTAAATTGAACGAACTTCGATCTTCGTTCTTCGTTCAGTCATTTTTTGCTTCGAGCGTTTAAATCTCGATGAAATTCAATCCGAAAGGATTGCTCGCGGAAATTATTTAAATGTGCGCTTTAAATGAACAGTCGATGCCCGTCTTCACGACAACGCAAACTATCGATGGGTCATGCTATCACGTCATATCTATCGCGGTAGAGGTCGCATATTGATAATGTAGGTCATGCATTTTCGATCTTGCACATTTGGTATGTGAATGGTACGTACATCGCTTCGCGCGTCCCCGTGGACCGATTCGGCCACTGTTCTAGAGAGATCCATTTTTTCCCGAATAATTCTGAAAAATTTTCCTGGAAACAGCTGCCAATTTGGTTGACAGTTCAATTTATCTCGTAATATACGAGAAGCAATTGCCCTCGGCTCAATAATTCACGTCATCGCTCATATTTTTCGCTAAATACGATTATATAAATTTTTCGTTCCATTTGAATTTGTGTTGAAATATTTATAAAAATCATATTTTTGAGTATAATTTCGCAGAGATCTGCTCTTCAATTTTTATCAAATTTTTTAACGCGCGTTATCTTATGAAAACATCTTAGAATTACTTGAAAGAAATATATAAAAGTGAAAAGATTTTTCGAGCAAATAATACTTAATCGAGATAATGTTTGAGAAATATAATTTCTCGATTCAGTAGACACGAAAGCGTAGAATTTGCATTATTTTAATGCAATTTATCCAAAAATCGTGTTACGTGTCGAGAGCATATTGAACCATGCACGACTCTTTATTACCCTACTCCTACTAAAATTCGATATCCGACGGCTTCTAATAGGGATCGTCCAATTTAGGTCATACGTTCGTTTGTACAATCGCGTCGCACAGCGACCTTCGGTCCAATGAGTATGCACTTTGCTTTGAGCGTGTGTTTTGATAATGCAATGAGCGAGTGCTTTGATGATGTTCGAGCGCTAGGAATGCAATCGACGTATCGCTTATTCGAGCAATCGGAAGTAATAAGGACAATCGTCTCTTATTACGTCACATTCATTACTCGTACTTCCACGCACGGTCATTGCTCTAAAACGCTTGCATCGCTTGCGATCGGGTTCATTGTGCCAAGTCGCTATCTTTTTACGCCGCTTGGCACGGCACCGCCGTTGTTTTCTACTATTTTACCGTCCTACTTCCGTATTTTGCCACAAACTTCGCATACGCATGATTGTGCAATCTTGCTTTTATTCCCATCAACGCGAAATACTGACAAACTATCAACTGAACTTTGATACTTTGATGGCGATAATTATGCATCGATGCAGAATGGATACACCTACGCATAAGTTATGTACAAGTTTCCACGGCATCTGGGTCGTATTATATAATGCATCTTCCCCTTCATCAACGCTCTCTAACTCAACGATAAAACTTATAAAACTTATAAATAAGTAAAAGTTTCCAATGACTATATTGCTGTCGGGCGATCATATGTACCGTAAGATAATGAGTTTTGGCTACAATGCAACGTTGCAGCTATTATCATTTAAAAAAACTCGATTGCAATTACTACCATGAAAAAGCGAGAGTTAAGCAGCTTTAATATATTTATTAATTTTTCATTGCTATAACTTGGGACGACGATTCTCGTAGGCGTTTGCGAGCGTAGGTAGATACTATCTACCTACTACTGCTTATTAATCCTAAGCCCGCATAAACGCGTTCTTTGATCTGTGACAAAATTCATTACAGAATTCTATTTATAATTTTTTACGACGCATTTACGACAAAAATATAACGAAAAACGTTTTAAAATTGGAAAATATTTTTCAGTGATATGAATTGGCCTTTTCATATTTTTTTATGGAATTTTTACACGAGTTTTATATATAAATTTTATTTTATATTTTTTACACAAGCTTTATATATAAAAAAAAGTTTTATGTATGAAACTTTTTTTACTAAATAACATATTGACCGTTTTATTCAACTACTTTCTATCGAAAGCCATCTATTTAAAAATTTAATTAAGCCATTTTTATTTCTGTTTTATGTCAATTCTAAATTTTTATTACATAAATTTATAAGTAGATTTTTATCTGTAATTCTGTCGGAAATTATAGATTATCTAAAGCGGCTTTAAAAATCAAAAATAAAATTTGTTATATATATTTTATTACATTTATTTTATCAAATATGTTTTGTGACATTTAAGTAATTAATTAATATTTTAAATTACGGTATGAAAAATAAAATTATATTTTTTTGCCTCGACAAATGAAAAAGCGTCTTTGCCGTGATGATTCATTATGAATACAATGTTCAAGAATCTTAAACGATAATTTCCTGCACTTTAGCCGTTCTAAGAAATGCCACGTGCCAAACAAATCGACATTTATTTGAAATTATTGTGGCGTATTCGCCCACTTTAGAAAATAACTCACTGGATGACTCATATATTAAAATTAAATACATCATTATGCAGCATTGCTGTATGTCGAATCTTACGTCACCCTGTGTGGTACACGGCTCTTACTCGTTGTTATACATCTGCTTCGCTAGCTTTGAACCAAGAATATCTTTATGAAATGTCAGCGAGGTTAAAATTTCTCGGTTTGAGCAAGAACAGTATAGAGAACGTAACAACAATAGAAGCTTGAAATTCCAACGAGTTAGAATGCAAAAACAATTCGGGTTTGCACGCTGAACTCTATCTAAGGTGGAAAGTCGATACTTCGCTAATATTTGATAATCTTCGATTCTGCTAACCGCTCTCTTGCATACGCTCAACAGTTCTAACGAGGACGAGAAATGTGACGGATATTTACTTTGCGTCAGCAAAGTCAGCATTAACACGGTGGACTTATGATACGCGTACAAAGCCGCACAGTTATAGCCAGATAAGCTTCGTGTCGTGTTCATCGTGTCGCGTTTGAAAGAATAAACAAAGAGTAAACGCATATAATAACGAAATATTATACTAAATAAGCGACAGAACACGAGCATGCGATAGACAATATGCAGGATAATAACTCACAATAGGCTGAAAAATTTGCAGTTAAAAGGAATTCCATTTAATAAAAAGAATTTCTGTGTATTTTAAAGCAGCAATATTTGTCTTGATTTTAGTAAAATTTGCACAATTAGCAGAAATATTTTTTGCCAAAGTGAAGACTGATGATTCCGCGACGTCTCGTGCATGGAAAAGAGAGGATAAGGATTACGTCTTTCCAAAAATATACCGGAAACTAATAATTAATATTGAACCAAACGCATCTTTCTGGAATCAACAAATTATATCAAAGTTTTTAATCGCAAAAATAACAAACTTTATCTCAGCATCGATGGGGCATCATGGCCAACGATAAAGTGTACTGGCAGCTTTTATCAATGTGCAAACCAAAAGAGATCCGGCAAACGTTATCGCTAACCGGATCTGCCGCTCCTTCGAGAGATAACCGGACGCTAACGAAGTTAATCAACACGAAATAGTCGATGTATTTCAACGGATACATCCATTGCACGCATCGATGATTTATTCGCTCAAAAGTCCTGCTTCTTTCTTTTGGATTGTAACGTCGGAAGCGCGAGATTATATAATTTATTTTTTCTTGCATTATACGTCTAAATGTACATTAATTTTTTGCATGCCGTCAATTCGTGTTTGTTCCATTTTAATGACATTATTCAATATAGCTGCAGCGAGCAATCAGGAGTTTTATTATTTTCTACTAAATTGACGGCATAATTCGCGCACCTGCGTGTTATTTTCTCGTAGCGAAAGTTATTAAAATTCTGCATCTGATGTAGATATTATTTTAGATATTTCTACTTTCCATATTCCATGTATTTCATCTTCCGTTTAGAAGAATTGTAAAATTATCATTCAAAGCGCCTAATAATTTAAATCCAACAGTCGCGTTGTAACTTTCAATGCCGCGAATGCGATTGCTTGGTATCGTCGAGAGATCCAGAAAGCTTGTAAATACATAATATTGTACTCATTTACGATATTTCAATGACGGAGCTTTCGCAAGAGCGATCTCGCTATACCGCCAATAGCCACCACGATTTATATCCGACTTTTTTTTGAGCTCTCGAGCATTTTCACTTCACTGGTGGCTACGCGCGCACAAAGGATTTGTTTGGAAGCCCCTCGTATTACAGAATATGTAACGCTGAGCGAAAAGGCTTCGCCAGTGCATCGGTGCATTCGTCCGCGATATCAACGGCGAGATCGAAGCTCCCCACACTCTGCCATTATTAAACCATTTCGCACTGGCAGTAGTGAATTTTACGCCAGTCATCTCGCGAGCTAAGCTGGGACACTTACTTATGCATTTGCGATGCAGTTTGAATCTATTCTTGAAGTTGAATTTATCGAACGGCTTTGACCCTCCACTCTTGATAGCGATATCGGACGCATAAAGTTGTTAGACGTAAGGTCGTTAAACGCATACCTTCCGCTCAACCTCGCTTCCGTAGACTGCAACTTTGCAACTTTGTGTGCCTTCATGCGTTGTAATTGCGGCATATATTGCTCCTCCAATGTAATATCTAGATATCTTTAAATAATTAGATCATGTGGGCACATCCGTGAAAAAATCTGATACTGTTCATAATGGAATAATTATTGAAACTAGCAAAGTTAGTTTACATTAATAGAAATAAAAATAATTCAGTTATATTTTTTGAAGGATATTTTTGTTAAAAATATATAATACTGAAATCTACAAATCCCGATATCTGCAAATTTAAATATTTCAAGATATCTCAATATTGAATTAAAACAGCGATTTAACGCTACGGTAATTGCAAGCTTTATAAGTGAGACAACGGGTATAAGCAAAAGCGTGTGTTTGGTTCGCGTGAAAATGGAGTATTGATTAATTGATCAGTTATGTGTGTGTGTATGTGTGCGAGGTTGTTTATAGTGAAATAAGAAAGTTGACAATATTACGTAAATAGTAAATTATCCTGTCGAGGCCACTCGTTCATTCTCGGTTACATACATAGTAGGCATTCGCCTACAGAAAAATATTCATTGTTCCAGAATAATGCATCGGTATTCGCGTGGTCATTAAATTAAATATTTAAATTGCAAACACTATTCACTACCAGTGTGTAACGCTATCTTCAATGTACATTTAATGTCGCTGACAAATGAGTGAATTTTCAACGTTAATTTTACTGCTTTTAAAACTGATATTACTTTTAAACGATCGACGTCTTTCATATCCACATTTGCATTGATAATTTTTGTTTAAAGTATTCAGACTTCAGATACTATTTATCATTATTATAATAATGCTTTTAATGTCCATTTAATGATGCTGCGTAAATTTTTGGCCGCATTAATTTTAACTTATCTTTACTTTTTCGAATATCAGCTACATTAAATTGTTTTCATCATTTTGAATAAATTACGTTTTTACAAATAATTCTTTTGTTAAATTAATATTAATAAATTAAAAATAATCATATTTTAATAATGCTAGATATTGATTTTTTTATGTATTACATTACGTTTTCAAAATTTAGGAATTTTTCAGATTATGATCGTATAATAATAAATTTTATTTTTTACTTATGCAAAATAAAGAAATAAATTTTGAAAGGGCATTTATCTATAGGTTTTTGTATGTTTGTGTAATTACGCGCTCTTTTTAAAATCGTGCAATTTGAGATGTGGCTCACATTATTACACATTTGATCGTCGAATCGAGTGCTCGTTAAATTTCCACCGTTAACTCGCTGCTACCTCTCGTTTACAATACGATCGCGTTTCAATCTCGGATTACACTATGTTTCCATATACATGTTTACAACAGACTCGTTTCTCTCTCATCTCTATTAAATATAGATATTTTTGTATATCTTTATTTCAAATAATAGGCATTTTCCAACATTTACACGGATCAGCTATCTTCTTTTTTTTTTTAAATTCGAATCTCGTCTGAATTATCATTAAATTGTCGCTGCTCGAGTGAACAGCGATAATGCGAGAATTCAATTTTGGCTCGATTTCTTGGAACCAATTTGATTTCGCGCGCGCGCGTATATAAGGAGCAAATATCTCGGATAGTATCTATAGATACTGCTTTAATGCCGCGGGATATAAATAAAAGACTTTTCATATCGATTTCTGGATTCTTGCACATTCTTTACTACGCGTCGCGAGCCAGTGTAAATTATTCTGATAATGGCTATTGCATGCGGTCGACGATCCTCTCTCTTAATGGGCTTGCCAGGACATAAGATCCGCTCGAGGCCAGACGGCGCCAGTTTCTCGGCTCCTTGCCATTACCAGCAGCATGTATTTCACTATCTTGCTATGCGCATGCATATTTCCAAACAGTTCGATATCGCAGACGAGAAGTTGGAATAGAAGTTGAAACTCGATAAAAGTGTGAGGGAGAAGTGATGCGTGTAAAAATTGAATACAGTAAAAATCCTTAGAATAAAGCAAATAGCGCATCGATGCATTTCATACCTATTTTGCATATTAGAAACACTGCGAATATATTACGAATTACAAACTCTTTTCTATATTTTTCTAACAAAGGACACGCAAGACAACAGACTTTATTCAGAAATAATATCGTTAATGGCAGGGAAAAGGTATACAAAAGCACAAACGTGTGTTACCTGACATAAATTTCGCTGAGAACGATGATTAATGTCTTTGCAAGAAAAACATAATCATTCGTGTTTGCGATCGTCCTAATCTATGATTGACTTATTTTGGAGTCATTCGATCGGAGTTGCGTCCTTGGTCGAATATCGTTCTCCTTGCTAGCGGCCCATATTTTTATCGACGGAACTGTCTATTTTTAGGAACATACAACAAAATATCGACACCGCGCCAAGGTTTTGTCAATGAGGTTTTCTCGACGCAAGTCGAACGAACGTGATCTTATCAAGAATGTGACGCGAAGTATCGCTGCGCTTTATATAACTTGCCTTGAATGCCATTTATCGTACGTGCCTCTCCGCAATCAATTCTTTAATAAATTACGAAGATTTTTGATTGTTCTTACTAAAGAGAATAATTCCAAATTCATTGAAAAATTTTTAAGTATCGTAAATTCGAGTTGCCGTTCAATTTTTGTTGGGAGCACGTTTCCTCAACGAAATCTCGCGCGTAACTTTCTTACTGGCTACTGCGTCGGACTTACAATAGCCAGCTGAGCTGAATGCTACACGTAGACCATTTTCCGGGTCAACGGCCCAACTGCATATGACGCACGTCAGGCAGAAAGGCAAAGGTTAGGTTGGGATTGAAACAGCTGATACGAAAACAAAGGGACGCGCCTCTGCTTTCATTAGAGGATAGATAAAGCGCGTTAATCGATAAGAACACGTGTGGTACGGATTTTCAGCTGAATGAGGCTGATGGAACCGTTGGGTGTCGCCCAGGACATTGTGGAGCCGGCTGCGCTGAAACGATGGGCCGATTATCCCATCCAGCATCGATTCACGGACTACTCCGAATCGGTCAGAGAAACGGCGCATCACGCTATAAGCCCTTTCCCTTATCAACCGTCACTTAACAACAAGCTCGCGCTATGGTAAGATATTAAGCTTGAAATTTTATCTTGTAACATATTGCCTTATAATATTATCTCTGAACATAAAGCCACGTTGTTTAAAATTGTGCGAATTTGTTGATATAATTGACACGTGCTTGACTTTAATTATATAATAAAGGGAAATTTGAGCAATTATAACTAGCTCCGGCTCTATCAGCTTGTTATTTTTCAAGAATATTATTTTAATAAGAAAAAGAGCTATATATTTATATTGTATTTTTAATTATATAAATATTTGGAGTAAAGAAATTATATTGTTCGTATTATTATTTGTAACCACGATTATGCGACGAATTAATGCTACAAAAATTATTTCAGGACTGGAGACATCTCAATATTGCAAGTGGATGCAGTAGTGAATCCTACCAACGAGACGATGGATGATAATAGTCCAATGTGCCAAAAAATATTTAGCCGAGCTGGTTCTGCACTCAAAATAGAAATATATAATGAAGTGAAAGGTTTGTGTGCTAACATAGTTTTTAATTGTGTCGGATAATAATGGAAATCTGTCTAATACTCTGTGTTTTGAAATTGCAGAATGCAGAACTGGCGAAGTAAGAGTAACACAGGGTCACGGATTACCTGCTCGTTTTATTATTCATACTGTTGGACCAGTTTATAACGTCAAGTATCAAACAGCTGCGCAAAATACATTACATTGTTGCTATAGGTAATTTAAATATGTTTATACGAGTGTGAATATTATTTTTGCACGTGCTGATGTGTTAGGCCATATGTGTGAAATCAGTTCCGAATGAAATATGTGTATGTGCAAGTAGAAAAAGGTATAGAGTTTGAGAAAATATTTTTTTATGTAACTGTGTTTCAGTAAATACAAAATAATATCGATTTGAACTTTTTAACTGCATCATTTATTTGCTGCAGCATTGTTGTTATTTAGATTGATTACATATTGGTTAAAATTATAAATTTTATAATTTATTATGATTTACCGAATGAAACATATCATCAAAACTATGTTGTATTAAGTTACGATTTTTTTAAATTATTGATGCATATTTGCTCCAAATGTATAAATATTTCTATTGAAAAATGATATCATCGGTTAAACGTATTTAATTATTAATAACTTTTTTCAACCGTGCATAAATTCAATACAGGATGCTTAAAAAAATGTTAACACTTATATAGAAGTAACTTTTTGGCATATTTCTTGCGAACCAAATTTCTGTGGATAATTGGAAGACTTTATCCATGCAGCTTTCTTCTTTGTTTCAAAGACAATCTCGTTGCTATTTCAATTAACTGCAAAATACGTACATGTACAAATTCTCCATATAAGTGTTAACATTTTTTTTAAGTACCCTTATAATACTACAGATATAAATAAAATATGCGATCTAATCAAAACATCGCGATACATATGTATATCTGACATATTTCCTTTTTTTTCCAGAAATGTCTTGCAAAAAGCAAGAGAACTAGGGCTGCGTACCATTGCTTTGCCAGTAATAAATTCGGTACGGAGAAATTATCCTCCAGATGCAGGAGCGCACATAGCTCTCAGTAAGTACGGATGTAAATATAAATTTAAGTACGATTTTTTTTAAATTTGAGACAAATAACTGATTTCTTTCTGTAGGAACTGTACGTAGATTTATGGAGCAATATAGTGATTCATTAACATGTATTATATTTGTACTGGAACCGTGCGACCTCGGGATATACGAAGTCCTTCTGCCGCTTTACTTTCCCCGAAATTTGGCAGAGCAGGATAACGCTTGCTGGCAGTTGCCGAATGACATTGGTGGTATGGATGGGGAACCTTTACTCCCAGACAGACAAATCAGAATTATTGACAATCCTCAGCATGCGTTACACGGTAACAAAACATTCCACTGAATCTTCGCATCCTAGATAGAGTTTAAAGAAACTTTTTACCGACAAATTCTATCGGTTTTGCAGGTGACGAGACGGTGGAACTTTCGGCACAATTAGAGACATCGGTGAATATCGGCGAGCATGCTTTTGCACAAATGCAAGGTGATTTGGACCGCCAGAGACTCTTGGGAGAGAGGCCTCCTGCCGATCCACTGGCGGATATCATGCTCAAGCAAATGCAGCAAAAAGAAAGGTACGAATTTACGATAGTTCAAATAATTTTGTTAAGATGTATCGTGCAAACGACATTTATATTACATTTCCACAGAAACAGAAGATTCAAAGATTTCAGGTTCACTAATAAATAACAATGTGAATAATTGGTGCATTTGAATCAGGAGAACATTTTTATCTTTCATTTTTCTAATATTTTTTTTCTCTCAAATGATATTAGCAGCATGTATGAACATTAATTTAATGTAAAAGAGTTAACTGGGACAATAGTCTTGCATGTGAAATTGCAGACAGTCTCGTCTCCTGATTTAAATTCACTAAACCAATTTATAACAACATAATTTGCGTTTTGTTAGGTAAATACACAAACAAATAATTGTTATAAGGTGTTACAAAAGCACCTTGTGCTGCAATAAGTTCTGCTGAACGCCTTCAGATTATGTGTTGATCGTATAAATCTGCGCTGAGCACAAGGGCTTTCGACTATTTTTCGTAGTCGACGCTCATCATCTTTCTTTATCACTCGCTTCCTCGTGAATGGTGGACTGATAAAAGATGCATGTACAAGTGAGGTCTGCGCCGCAATAGGTCCGGGGGGACGTCCTCAGATTATGTTGATCGCATATATCTAAAAACTGCGCAAGAGCTGCAGCTTTCGACTGGTTTTCATAGCGACGCCCATCACCTCTCCTTCATCGCTCGCGTCCTCGCGAGTCGCGATAAAAAGATGAACCACAAATCACGTGTGTGTCTTTCTGTATGTTGTTTTTATTTTGCGTGTTTATCTCGTCGTTAGGCAGGACGTCGCGCGAACGTGATAGCCAATCCGAAGCCTGTTCCTAAAGACGCGAGCGATTAGGAGGTGGATCCACTATAATCAGTGGAGAGTTAAGTGTAATAGAGAAAATATTAAGAATAGGATTAAATATTAAATATTAGGAAGAGCAATTTTTGGAATTATTTTACTTCAAGGAAACGGAATGGATTAATTATTTCTAATTCTCTCATTTCCTAAATGAGAGAATGTTCATGATATATTAATCCATTTCATTTTCTTGTTCTTTGAAATAAAATAATTCTAATTTCCTATTCCTAATATTTAATATTTATTCCTAATATTTTCTCTATTGTGCGTTATATGGGCCTTATATGTATAAATCTCATCCAATTCTGATTGCAGAATATTTAACTTTTCTTAGTGTTACGTAAGTTATATGCATTACCATGTGTAGTTTGTCACTAACAATAAGTTTCCTTCCATATCGGCTATCAAGTATAAAAATGAAAATTACGTTTCATCTCAGGTGGTGTTGTAGATTTTATGTGTGCATTTATAAATTATTGATGTGATATTTACGCAAATTTTTTAGACAGATAATATAGGCTATTGAAAATTAATAATGATTAAATAATTAGGATAGTACTGTTTTGAGTATTGATTATGAAGAATACTTAATTGGGAAATTGGGAAGTTGCAATCGAAAATTGATGCAAAGATACAAACGTTTAATGTATTAAATACAATTTTGTAATAGGAACAAGCTGTCGAAATTTTGACAAAAATATTGGAGATGTTGTTTACAAACAAGAATACGAAATGCTATTCTAAATTATATGCATAACTTATGCAAATATGCTACACGTGAACATAAATCATTATAGTTCCATTAAAATGAATGAGGAACTTCGAACATTGAAGCTATTTCTGAGTTTAAATTTATTTTATTTTATTGTGAATATTAATAGACGAGAAGATTTTTTTAGACAGAGTACTAAATTTACATTGATTCATGAATTTACATTTAATTAAATTAAATTTTTACGTGTGTTAGGAAGGATATCAATTCTAATTATCGTTTGATGAAAGCAATTTCTATAAAAAAATTCTATCAAAATAATATTAAATTAATCAAATGTGAAGTTAGTCAAAATATAAAACTGACATAAAATTTATTATTAAAATATTTACAGCAATCTGTTCGTCGTCATTGGTGAAATTAAATTATTTACTGACTTGCGTGCGCGTATATTTGACAACGTTATCATACTTATAAAGCCGTTTATCGACTTTTGACGTATGTGCAAAGTTTGTTTGGCGATATTCTTTTTTTAATTAACTTCAAGATCAAAATATCATTTGCGTCATGGAAATAAATCATTCACATGGTCCTGACATTTTCTGTCGCATTAAATGTTTATTCTCGGACTAAGATCGACGTCATTCTATCATGACTAGTACGCTTTATTATAGCAAAAACGGAACACCCACTGGTGTTACCAGAACCATTGATTACATTTGAGTGACTCATTATGCGCGTCTCTTTTTCGAAGCAAGACTTGGCAGTCCGTTTGTTACTTTAATAAGACAGTAATTGATTTCCATTGTATTACATAATGTCAGCAGCATATCGTGCGTGGTATTGAAGCAAATAGTTTTGCGAAATATGAATAATTTATTTCTAAAAATACAAAAGTTTTATCTGGATATTTTCATACGTTTTACATTTAGAAAAATCGGATTATGGTTTCACCTGCGGCTCAAACGAATGCCTTTGCTTGGTGATTTCGATGGAACACCTTGAATCCGTTTAATCGCGGTCAAGGTCATGAAATCTTGAGCAAAGATGTGATGCTTGAGACATTATTGCGCGTTGTAATTACGTGCGGTATCAGCACTTTTACATTATTCTGTTATCTAATTTTTCCTTCAGAAAAAAAATCATTTGGAAGAATATTTTTTTACATTATAATCGCGCACGCGCGCGTATGTATTATCATATGTACACGGTATATTTTTCAATAATTATTTATTTAATTTTAAGTTATAATTTAAATTATTATTCCTTTTTTACATGAAACTTTGATATAAAATGCAAATTGCAGCGACATACCGTTCTCGTGTATTCTATTTGCAAACGCGGATTTCCTGAAATTTCTCAAAATACCACGGTTGCCCCGATTAATCTGCAAAGCGTATATTTACTTTTCAATCTAAAATAATCTCGAACACCGGATGTTCCTACCACGCACGAATATTTCAGCGAAACGTTAATTCATTGATAAGTACGACGTCAATGCGCGATTTTTGGAGCTGTTTCATGAAATCTCTCGGTTTGCATTCGAAAGCGTAATCTTCATTGTGCTAATTTTAGCTAACATTAATTACATTTATTTATTAATTAAACTGATTTGATTACTAATTTACAAATTGTGACTTCTGTCTAAAAAGAATAATCTGTTATGCAAGAACATCTACAAATTGAAAGAAAAATTATTATTTTGAAAGAACAGAAACAAAAGTTCAAATTATACTGTAAATATTATATTAAGCGTTAAATCGTCCAATCATTGCTATTCAATAATATCTGATAATGATCTAAAACATCGCAATTATGTATCGAAAATGTTATTCACACTTTAAATTGACCTCTGCAACAGCCTTATACAAATCCAATTAAAAATGTATGATTGATCATAAAAAGAAGGTTTCAAAAAAAGTGTGTGTATTCACGCTGTTACAATTACATCGTCAAATTCGAGCAACATGATCGTTATCTTAAAATTACCCCGAGGATAATGAAAATTGGATAATGTAAAATGCAAAACTAACTCCATGTGTAAATTATCTTAAATTCCGTTTTATGTTTTTGCGAATTAACTATTTCACCTTGCGAAAACGGCGCTTTTGCGTAACACTTTTGCTTAACACCACCAGCGCTTAACTCGCGCTAGTATGCAAATGTGTTCGGCAATTAATGTAAAGGATTAAGATAGTGTGCGATCCGTCCTGCTTTTTAATCGGGTTATTACAATTACAAAATGCGGGAAATGACACACGTTGACAGGCTCAAGGCCGTCGCCGCTAATAATTGAAGAATACCCGTAATTAAAGAATACACTCGCGATCGAATTAATGACGGGCTCACGACCCCTACCTCCGCATCTTGTACGCTCATCGAGCACGCAGTTTCACGAGCCGGGCAGGCGCCGTGCGAGCCTCGGCAGGACTCGGGAGAGAGCCTCGTACAAGCCTCGTAGCCGCGGTAGTCGTCGTGGACGTCGCAGTCGTCGCGCTCGAGAGAGACGGCTCTTGTCCGACAAGACGGTTCGACTTTGGTTAGTTGGTCGCGACTCGTCGTACCGTTCCCATCCCTCTCTGTTTGCTTCCTTCGGCCGTGCTTCGATCGAAACAATTATACCTCACCGTGGATCGTCGGTGCCGCGCGGATGCCGCGACGAAAGGCGGCCGTACACGGCTGTTAGTGAATCTCGCAACCCTTTTTTCCCCCTTTTTAATCGAGCAGAGATCAGAAGACGTGCAAAAGGAGCGTAACATCAGAATGGTCATGATTGATATGGTGGATATCATCGAGGACGAGGACCGGTGTGTATTAAGAATAGTGCGCCGCGATTTTTACGCGTTCAAGCGCCTTGGATGAGACATTATCGGTTCGCTATTGATCCCCCGCTTATATGTTGGCGTGCGTCCAGTATATTCCCCTAAATCGGTTGCCGTCAAAGAATATACCGGAGCTGCTAATGCTCAATCCAGTATCGAAAAGTTACGCACACGACGTAGTGTGCTGTCACGCCGATTTGTTCCAAATACCTGCGGTATATTGAAAAAAAGAAATGATAAATCGATATGTGCTTATTGATAAAAACGCGATACAGAGTGGTGAATTCGACTGTTTCAGCTGTGAAACAAGTATGAAGTTTTACATATTGGACATATTAGACGAACAAAATTGTTTATTACTCTGTTAGCTGCTATAGATGCAAACATAAAATCCATGACGATTTATGACACTTATTTATGATAGAACAGACGAAATGTACATAGACGAGCGATAGAACTTTTTTTACTTCTTCTGCATTTCGCCGTTCGTATTTTAGTTATGCAAAACGGCACGTTCTTCCAGATCGTAATTAAGGCTACGTGACGACTGGTAAGATTCTTGCGGCACTTCCGGACACGTTTATGTGCATTGCGTCGTGATTTTCCTCGAGAAAACAGTCGCGAATTAATTTTGCTTGAACGCGGAAGATATTAGGCACACCGCGGGATATTAATTTTTACTCGCGTCATGTATCTACATTTGACATTATAAGGATTGAATCGTTGATTGTAGGTACGAAAGGCTCCTCAGGAGGGCGAAGACAGAGGATCTCACCGAAGTCTCGGGGATCGGTTGTCTGTATCAGAGCGGCATCGATCGACAGGGTCGACCTGTGGTCGTCTTCGTCGGCAAATGGTTTCCAGCCTCCAAAATCAATCTAGATAAGGTAAAGATTATGGTAAAAAAAAAAACAAATTGCACAAAAAGTACTTGATCGCTCAATTCGTGCAACATTTCGATGGAAATGTCATTATTGAATATCGTTTAATATCAGCGCGCGTTTGCAATATTAAATAAATCAAGCGCTGCTACACGATAATTTTAATTAACGGTGAAAATTATCTTCATAAATCACGCGATTTTATAGTTCTCTGGCAAGATTAGAGATTGTGCGATAGTGTATAACACTGTTCTATAGTCACTCTTGCAATCTTTAGTAATTTAATCGATTCGCGTAGAACGTTTGTGGAGTAGAAAAATGCTTCACACAGTGTATATTCTGGCGAAATTATTCTGTGCCTTTCTACTTTTAAGCAGCAGTACACGTTTAAATTATATTGCTATACTTAACATGTAGTGCTTTGATACAATTTAATTGTCGAAACAAAAATACACAATTTGTTCTCGAAAATAATTTTGCCAATCGAACATAGTTGATATTTTGCTTCTTTTTTTTAATTACTCTCAGAACATATTCCATATCAATTTTTTTTAATTTTTCTCTACGAAGACAAAACTAAGAAGAATTTTTAGGAAAGAAATTCTCTTATTGAATATTAAATGCGTTCCGAAAGTCTTATAAGAAAAGTGCTTCGACCCTCTCGCGAACTATAGCTACATCGAGATTGCACTTTGCTCTACTCTTCCGCGACGTATATATGTTCCGAATGGATATATGTCAAGCCTGTAATTTCATAAGATCGCCGACACGCGTACGTTGCTCGTACCCGATGTCGTCGTGTCGCGTTCGGGTCAACCCTCGATCACTTGTCGTCTATCTTAGCGCGTCAGCCACCTCATTTCTCGTTCCTTCCTCCGACTCATCCTTACCGCTCGGCTCATAGTCGACACACAGTATAGTGGTGGGTGACGAATCGATATTTACACGTCCAGAAATAGACCGACCGCGAAACGAGTCCCCATGGGGAGAGGGCGAGCGGATTGCAACGTCGTCGCGACGTGCACCCCCATCCTCAATGAAACTTTCTCACCCGTTCTCTTTTAACCCATTTGCATGGATAAAGGCTGCGCCGCATGCGCCAGCCACATTATCGGCACGTGCGGAACAATCGGTGATTAGCAGGGCTTGGAAGAAAAATGAATAATCAATAAATCCATCCAGGATCTTTTTTCCACCTTTCAATCAAATATATATATTGTATATATAAGCTGTGTTTCGTCCAACTTGGCCGTGAAATATTCTTTCTTCGTTGATACTGACATTTTTTAATAATAAAATGAATAAGGAAGATATTGCTTTTTTTTATATTCGCGCTCGAAAGGCCAAATGTTATAATCATTAAACTTCCTTTGTTCAACTCAATGTTTTCAATAATATAAATATAAAGCAAACGTCGTCGAATTATCGTTTCATACATATCACGACATTGTGCAATGGAGAAAATAAAATGTTTGTTAACTGACAGCTAAGCACATATCTTTCATGTCACATACGTTTGCATGAAAAGAACGAATTTAAATTAAAGCTATTTGAGGTATGACGTATGCTTAAATGTTTGCTGTAGAGTATTGTGTTCGATGTTATATCTATTTCTTTATGAATAATGCACGCTACAGCGTCGCTTGTACATTATTTACAAAAAAGCGTGAACGGGAATTTATAGAATACATTTTTAATACTATTCGCTGCGCATTTATCTGATAAATCGTTCATTGTCCATTGTATGTGCAACGACGATTCATCACGATCACTTGTGTGTCGAAGTGAAAAAATAAAAAAAACAATATCTATACTTTCGACTGGCCTTCACAGTCACCTAACATGAATCCGATCGAAAATGTATGGTCGATCATGAAAAGAAGGAAAACGTATATTCAGACCGAAACAGCTGTATCATTTAATTCGAGTTATTTGGACGTAATTAATTCAAAATTGCATGAATCACTTATAAAAGTACCAGTAAGTACCAGACCGGTTTAACGAGAATGAATCAGACGAGTTATTAACAATAAATGCGCACCAAGATATATTTTAAATTCCCGTTTATTCTGTAACAATATTTCTTTTTATAACAATTCTATTGGCAGTAATTTTTTCTTCAGATATATCGGCGATATTTTATGTAATTGCACATGATACATCGGTTGTTTTCCTTTCCTTAGAAGGAAAATACCTTTAGAAAATGCATCTAAAAAAAAATGCATCCGAGAAAATTATTAAAACACATTATGACGTACAAACGTACGTTCGCGAAACGACAAATCCGCCTGACGATCGCGGAGTTTAGATTATTTAACATCGTCCAACCTTTTTGTCGTGACCTATATGTTGCTAAAACGATCGCGTTCTAAATCTTCTCTCGGAGAGATAAAAAAAGTTATTAGCTTCATTCATCCTCTCTCATTCCGATCTGGGACACGTGGTTACCTTCAATTTATTCGAGATAGGAATATCAATGATGCTGCGTAGAGATTCGTATGTGCGGCTAAAAATAAATAGCGCCACATGTAACAGCTGTCGCCACAACGTCATAGATATAGAATTTGAAGCTCGTGTTTTGAGGCGAAAAATTGCATCCGTTATCAATCTGCCGAATCGATTTTCAGCTTAAAGTCATTTTTTACTTTTTTTTTCCCCCCCGTATTTTTGTCCTGCACGCGTTGACCCGCTTTCACGACGAATCGTTTACGCTCAGTCAGGACGCTAATTACACAGCGACCTGAGATAACGTGTCTTCAGGGCCGCGATACAGATAATGATACGTCTTGCAGTTTTTTTTTCACGGGACAGCGCTGACGTCATTTCGACGCTGACTTCACTGTTGAATTTGCTACCGAAGTTTGCTTTCCACCAACGAATGCTGATAATGAAAGTCCTATAAGCGTAACAATCCTCTCATTGTTTTGCGAAATTACCGGTAATAACGATTTCAATATCACGTGTTGCGCAATGCCATCATTTGATCAATCATAATCGGACACGCATAGTTGAATCGCGTGTGGATACGTTTGCGAAGTAACTTCGAAGCGCGGCGGTTTCGTCGCAGAATCGCGTCAATCTCAACAAGACTGAGGAATTGACAAATTAAATTATCTTCAGAGTCAAAAGAGGATATGTATTCAGTGCACAATAATTTTATAAACAAATATTGACTCGTGATAATTTTATGAATAAATATTGAATTAACGAACTGCGTATTTTGAAATATCACGGCGCTGTTTGCAAATTGGCATCCGAGACAGATTTCCGCCGGATTATTTTGTGCAATTGTCGAAAAATAACTTTGTTTACACAATTTAGCCACGGCACCGCGCTGACTTATAGACATTTTGCTAGACGCAATGTATCGAGCTTACAGCACATACTCGTCGCTACGAGATTCATCGATTGCACCACGAAACTCATAACATTTGTCCTCGAACCCTCGGTCGGAAAAGGTGGACAATGAAAATGACGATAAAATTGCGACGCCTTTCAGTAGAACCGTCAGGAGATATCTACGTCATACATTCAACGACGTAGAAAAGCCTCGCAGAACACATTCTGTATATCTCGCCGCTGACGTCTCATCGATTCCCGACAATATTTACGCAGCGTTTATTTTAGGACACATATTTACCCCCGTTTCCCTTGTTCCCCACTTTTACATTGTGTGTTTTACGCGGTATGGATTCTTAAAGTGATTTAAACGGGGCTTGGCGCCCCTTCTTTTTTTATGAAAAAAAATTCACAGCACGATCGATTGAGCGTAGATCAGCGAATTATTGTTTCACTTTTCCGTCACTTTATAGGCTTTGCTGTACCTGATACAGTTGTTGGATCCCATCGTGAAGGGTGATTACGTTATCGCATATTTCCACACCCTTACGGCCAGCAGCAATTACCCCAGTTTACACTGGCTGCGCGAAGTCTACAACGTGCTTCCCTACAAGTAAGTCATACGCTCGATATCGAACGCATTGGACTTTATTGATCGCATTTCACCGCGGCCGAATCGCAAGTTGCGCCTCTCGGCGATACATGCAATGTGTAGGATGAAGCAAGGTATTTTGATGATCCGAGAAATTGGTTGACAATTAAAAGATGAATTTCGCGTGTATTTCGAGAATAAAATTTCTCAAAGTTGCTGAAATATCGTACGGTGCGCCTTATTATTCACTTTTATTCCAGATTTAATGCAAATAATCTCTTTTCACGCGGAAATATTTTTCGCACCGTTAATATTCTCTGGAAAAATTAATTTATGAAATTTTATTGTATGATGTTTTAAAAATATTTTGTGCTCTTTTTGTTTTTCCATTAAGAATGAAAATGAAATTACATCTGCGAGGAAAAGCTAATCCGAAATGTTATCAAATCACCTTACTTTAGTCCCAGTTGTGCATCGAGTTGTCACCTAGTCGTAACTTGACTCTCCGCAGAAATTTGATAGCGATCTTGAAACAGAATTCTTTTGCAGGTATAAGAAGAATCTGAAACATTTCTACATTATCCATCCTACCTTCTGGACCAAGGTCAGTAATAATATCATCGCGTGCAATTATAATTACATGCTAATGTGAAGCGAACGATTCGAACGAAAATATTACGCTCAGCAAAAAGTTGTTAAGGCGCAAAAACATACTCTTAATAGATACTGTTATTATGTTTCCCACGTTTGTACTGCATGATGAATTACCATCGGAAACGATCGTATCGAGTTTCCTGACTATTCGTATTTTGTTAGCAAATATGTTTGCGCGCAACAATTTTTTTCTATCGTAAGAATCGTTAAAAGATAATAATAATGAAAATGTTGACGGTAGATATAATAAAAAGAGGCGAGCGAATTATAGAGTGACATTTCTTGACATTTCTGCGCTCAGGCTCCACATTTGACACTTGTTTTCCTAATCGAGAGATTTTCTATCATCTTTTTAATTTTCTTTTATTTTCTCTCTCTAATAAATAATCGATTGTTTGTTAAAGATGATGACGTGGTGGTTCACGACCTTCATGGCCCCGGCCATTAAACAAAAAGTTCACAACTTGCCCGGAGTGGAATATCTTTACGAAGTTATGCCGCCTGACCAACTTGAGATTCCAGCGTACATCACGGAATACGACATGACGGTACGATAAACAACAAGCTAACAATAAGAAGCATCCCGGCAGAAATCTTTATTGCTCTCGCTCGAACACGTTGTTTTCCTTTACAGATAAATGGCCTTAGGTATTATCAGCCGGACCAGGTCGCGTCATCGCCGTCAACGTCCACGTAACTCGCACGTGAAAATCGAAACGCAAGCAGCGAAGCGTCAAGACCGAGGCCAGATCAAGTGTTTCGTGCATTCGTACGGCTGACTATCCGTATTCTTACAGTGGCATCCGCGCGCCGCTCAAGCGCGAGAGCCGTGCGCGTGCAATTCGTGATCGTCGGCGCATACCGCCGGTTATCGGCGATGATAAGGCGAAAAGCACGATGCTGCCTGGACACGATAATCCGTATCTTCGATAAAGTAGCCCGGCTCCGCAATACCTCGAAGTCGATTTGTCCAAGTGCCTCGTGATGGACCGTGTTCGAGCAGGGAGAGAAAAAAAGGACGAGAGGACGATCGGCCGCGCGAAAGAATGTCGATGCGAGAATATTAATAGAAAAAAAACGTAAAAAAAATCAAGAAACCACTGCCCGCCTGCTTTTGACGTTTTGATCGGTTCTTTCCGCTCGCGTGCACGCTTACGCGAGCCTCACGTTCCCGAAAGTATGAGGGTGAAAAATTTGGTGCTGGACAATCCGCGTTTAAGATAAGGCGATCGAGAAAGCCTGGACACAACCCGTGCGTATCCGTTGGAAGTGCACTGCTGGACAGCGTATATTCATTATTTCAGTAATATAGCTAACGAATTACTAATTCGCTTAGAGCGAACATCGGCTGCCAAAAACATCAATAATCAGTATTTTCGTCGTCGTCGTCGCACGCAAGAAACGAAATCCGAAGCTGAAACCTCTATTAATCTCGCCCTTGTACATATTACGCTACTCGTGGCAGATTCTTAGCGTAGTACTGCCTGTGAAAGCGGTAGGAGAGGAGACAAAGGGGGAATATGTCCGACGACGCTCTATAGAATTATAAACGTCGGCTTAAATACAGACCGTCGATCGCTTTCTGTTATTTTCGTATATCAATCGTTATACAGCGAAGAGTGTCTATTTGATTATTGTATATTGTCAATATTTTATCAAGTCACATCGTTGATATAGAGATCGCGTTGTGCTGCCGTCGTCGCCGCCACCGCCGCCGCCGCTGCTGCTACATAGCCGCGGTATTTTTCGATATAACTAGGAATAAATCGTCGGCTACAAATACAGGAGAGCGGTTGGATGTTTTACTGTGATGTCATGTTTTCGGCACTCAGCAGATTCGATTGATTTTAAAGATGTATCTGTCATCTCTTGCGGAGAGAGGAAACGAGAGAGACACTTTCGACGCGGGGCGACGAGCGCGTCCGCGAAAGTGTTATCGTTGAGCGCCGAAATCGTACGTACGGGACAGTCGTAGATTAGAAGAAGCAATAAACTTTAAGAGCTTGCTCGCGATGTATTTCGGGAGGCAAAATCGTTATCCCCGTTGTTAAGCATTTTTAGCGATTAAAGAAATAAATTAAAGAAGTTAAAACCTGTTAAACGCGTCGATTAGCCCATTTCTCACGCCCGCCAAATCACGAATCTACTTCGATCAAGTAATATTAGCGCCCTTCCCTCTTCCGCTCTTCTTTGATCTTTCGTCGATTAGTTTGCGGCACGAGGAAACGATGTCGTGCATTAATCAACCGCGGACGAGCTGAGAAGGCAATGGGTTAATTGACCATGCTACCTCCGCCAAAAAAAAAAAAAAAAAAAAAAAGAATAGGATCGTCCGTATGATCGAACGCATAAGTGTTTATACGCATTGAGAGATTTAGGTAGTTGTGGAATTCGAAAGATGCTACTCGTAACCGTCGTCGTTGATTGCGTTCGGAAAACGCAACGATTCGGACAATTGTTGCGTTTTCTTGAACGCAGTCATTGTTCGCGAAGGATGAATAGAACTTTTTCGTCTTACTGTACCTACATAAACCTGTTTTGCAAAAAACTTTCAATGCTGTTCGCGCTACGAATAGTCGGAAAAGGGAAATCTCGTACTATTCGGAGGGGCCAATGGTATCACACAGTGACGCAAATAGAATATTTTTCACTTTTACGTTCGGCGACCTCACTGTCCGTCCCTGACAATCGAGTTTAATGAGTAGTGAAGGATTTCAAAGGTGCAACATCGTTCAGAGATCGTTGTTATTTATATATCTTATATTAGTCGTTATCGTTCTGTTATCGTTCGAACTTATTAAATCAAGATTCGGCAATTCTTATGTGATACGATTCAATTTTTGAATAAATTTTGAAATTGCAGAGGAGAGACTTATTTTTAATATGGACAATTGTTTGTTTGTGATCTCGACGGTGTACTATTACTTTTAGTAAGCATGTATACGATAAACGGAATTTAATTAATTGACGAGAGCGATGATACGATTAAGGTTTTTTGACGGCGATATATTATGTTGGTATATATTATCATATATATATATATATATTTATATGTTAAACAATTGACAATTGAGTCTATGCTTATGTCGACAAGTACTTACTCGAAAATCGAGAGAAAATCCTTGTAATATACATATATATAATTTTTTAAGGTCCTAATCTAGTCAAATATCGTATATCTGCCATGCAGAAAAATATGTTTTCTTGTGAACGAATATGCATCACATTCGTAAAAAATATCGCTAACATCTACTTCATCGCGATATCTTTTTTTTATGAACTCTAGCTTTAAGATTTTTTCTAATTACATTCCCGCAAAACATTAATCACATACTTTTATTTCAGCATCTGTGATTATAATGACCAGAAAACGTGTGAATATGCAATTAGAAAAGTTTTTCTCCCACTAGGCTATAATCGTGTAATTCTGCTGAAGTGATAATATCCACATGGATCGTTTGTGCCGAAACCAACTAGACTAGGACCTTAACAGTGAATTAGTCAATCAGCTAATAGTATCGTCATGAGATACATGAATGTATGTACGAAATGAGAGTATGACATCTCGTCTTGGCATCACGAATCGAAGCGTGCTATTTCCATGATAAATGAATAGTTTCCGCAATAAGATATTTTATTCTTCAATATTTTAATGTAATAAAATGAGGTGCAGTAATCGGCAAGTTAAAGCTTAGCATTTACGTACGAAAAATGGTTGTTATTGCTTTTTCGGATACATTGCTATATTTAAAAAAATATTTTTTAACAAAGCCAGATAACAAAGTTCGTAATATGAAATTAAAACTTGTATTAATCTCATCTAAACGTTTAATTTTTCGAATAATGTGACACAAGACTTTTATATCTAAATGTCATGGAAGTTCATATTACTACGTACGTATTGTTTATCGTATCGTTGGCATTGATTGCTCACTTAATGTCATATAAAAGTATGTAAACGATAAAAGTAATTATGGAAGAGACGCTTCGCAATCGTGCACGCTATTACGACTTAGAAAGTGAGAAATGCTCTGTTCAAAATACTAATTAAATATATCTGGAATTGTTTCAGGCCAAAGAAAAGCGCTGAAACAAAAATGAACCTTGTAATTATTAATTATGCTAAACTTAGTTATTTCTTTTACATAGCATTTAGCGATACATCATAGTTACGGTTGTGTTATGAATATCGTACGATCTAAGAGGTAATTTGGTTTACTAACACGGTTCTATAGTTTGTACTTAAGAATAGATTGTTACTGAACAAACTTTGCGCGAACATCATTTATCGTTTATTGTTTTCAATAGATGTCAGCGCATGACCTTTTAACAGGTGCACTTCTTTCGTTGTATCATTTTTTATAGAATATAAAACGTATTATTTCAATAAAATCTCTACGATCTTATACATTTTATATTCCATAATATATGTACGTGCAACGTTTCTCTTACAAATATATATTTCACGGCTGTTCGGACAATTTTATTAACATTGAAATCGTAAAAACATACGTGAATTTTTAGCTTATTTTTAAATTCCAATTCCCGCCGAGTAAATATTTAATTGGAATAGTGACTTAGATTCTTGCGTTGCAAAACTACAAATGCTGTGTGGACATGAAATTTTGATTGAATAAACAAGGATATTTCATTGTTACAATATTTGCAGATTTTTCAGTACACCGCAAAAATTACCAAATTTCATAGAAAACAGAATTTTGTCCTACTAGGAAATGGCGCAATTCTATTGTTACGTTGCTGAGCATATGGTCGCCAGATTCACGTTAAAATTCGAACGAAATCCTAAACACTAGAACATGATGACCAATACAGATAGCTGCGCACGCTCGCACCAGATTCGTCAGAGAGGTATTTCTTCCTCTTCCCAGCGACGAGTCCGACAGTGAAGTGCGCGATATCATGCCATACGTGCCGGAATAAAAACTTCCAAGATTACGTACATATCCACGCGCGTGTATAAAACGCGCACGCATTCGCACACGTCATAGACACACATACATATGCATGCCTTTCATACACGTGGCTAATGATGGAACGCGCCATCTCACTTTAGAAAAACAGTCTTCTACCTGCGTTCTTGCCTACCTGATGTCTGCCTAAGCGTCTAAAGTCCTTTGCCGGTGATTGCGTGAAGTTTACAGGTAACGAATAATACAATTCGCAGTGAGAAATTTAAATAAATTGTGTGTGATCGAAACTGTTCGAGTTTGGAGTTCTGACAGTTCGATTGATGATCGAATTGATTGATCGATTACCGATGATCGGAGATTCGACTGTTTGGATAGTGTCAATGTTAAGAAGAATTTCGGTGAAAATAATATTTATTACACAAAAAATTAGATTTGTTCTTCTGTTTATTTTCTTGTGACGATATATTACGTAGCGTTACTATCTTATGCACTTGTCAGAAAATCAAAATCTGCTCAAATATATATCTTAACCTATTAAAATAACCGGTTGAGAGAGAATTTTTGTTTTGCGTACAAGCTGTGAATTTAAATTCAAATTAAAAGTAACAGTCAGAATTAACGAAAGGATGGAAATATTCGAACTTTTCGATCACAGAAAGACCAGAATTAATAATACGTAACAAGAATTTTATCACTGGTAATTCTATTTAAAGTAGTCATTGAACTTTCATTCATAGTTTGCGAGTTGAAGTATTTATATACCACAGAATAGACAGAGAGATTTTATTACGCACTTGACACAAATAAAGAGAGCAGTTAGAAATGTGTGCTAAATCGATTTTATTAAGCAAGTAAATTGAAGTCGAATAATTTTCAACAAAGTGATTACATTTTATTATTATTTTGTACTTGTATAAGCTCGAAGGTCTTGGGATAATAATGACACGCCTAGCCACGTGAAATGAACGTTTGAAAACAACTACATAAAGTCTGGAATTTCATGCATTAGTTACGCGATTCAATGATAATCTACGTAAATATCGATGATCAACTAAATATAATGTGATCAAAGAGTGAAGTTACGGATAACGTGCTGATAAGAATAAATGATATCTCTGTATACGAATGATGAAGGATAAGAACGTTAAACGATAAATTCCTACGTTTGATAATTTGTTTTAAAATATTACGAATCGAATCACGCGATGAAAACTTTACGACATTATAATAACTCATTATCGTACACATAACAGTGAAGCTATTATAAATTATATATAAGTTCGCTTAAGGCGATTGAGCTGTAAAATATCGTGAAGTATTTGTTTAAATGTCGCAAAGGATTGGCTGTACTACTTGGCATTGTCCCAATTTCTTACGAGGAAGAGTAGAAATAGTGTACTTTTATAGCCACTTAAATGTTCGAAATAGAAACGGGACTTGTTCACGCACAATCGCGTCATTTATCTCTGAATATAGATAAAAATATAATAATTATGATAATAATGAAATCGAGTGATTTGGTGCGATTGTAGTTTTCACATTTCGATAATGTCATTGTTTCATTAGATACTTAATAACTTATATGATTTTCTTGCTTGTAATTATTCTGGTTGATATTATTCTTCTTACGTAAAATATGCGAGTTGTTAAACGAATAACGTATCATGCTTAAACATACGCAAATCCATTAATACTTGCATAAAGAACGAGTTATAAGAAGTGCTAAGGACGAAATTACAAAGTTCATCTTTTATAGATTAAAAACAGACTTTGAGTTCACTTATTGCTAGCCGATTTGTATTCACTCAAATGTCAGATACGAATGATAGATACAGTCAGCATAATCTATCCTCCGGAAGATCTTAATATCGAGCAGTTCTTAATATCGAGTTTTGTTCGACTGATACAGAAATACAGTGTGAACCGGGAAGGAAAGGATCAAGTCTATAATTATTTGAAAAAAGTACTTAGCAAGTAACATGGAAATTTTTGGTGTTAAATTCGCGCCGTTAAATATACCGTTGGAAAGGAGGCTGCAAACTTTGGTCGCCGCAACATGGATGTTTTTTACTGCTTTCGGCGATTTTTTGGGATTTGTCTTAACGGCCTATTTTCTATTCTACACGCAAACGTTGCGCTACGTTGTGCTACTGTATTTCGTCTGGATGTATTACGATTGGGACACTTGCAACCGCGGTGGTAGGAGGTAATACAATTCTACTAATTTTTATGTCAATTTTGAAGTAATAGAGATAGAGTCGATGTAAAAGATACCATAGATAAATAGAAAATTATTTTTTGACAATACTTTGATATATTTTTTTTCTTTACACAGAACAAGATTTTATGCAAGACCGTTTATTTTTAACATACTACGAGCTTACAATATCGGCAAATTTCTAGAAAATTTAATAAATTATAGTACGATTAAACTAGAGACAAAAAGAGGGATTTTATTGAATTCCATTATCGCGCCTAAATATTTTCCTAATCGCTTTGATTCGAGATAATTGCTTAAAGCAGTATGATAAAGATACACGAGATCAATTACGATACACATTGTTTTTTTATGATTTGAACTGTGATAAAAACTTACGAAAATAAAAATTTAATGAGAGATTTTTAGGAAATGTCTGTATCTCATGTTTTTCAGTTCATTCCTGTTAAAGTGGACGAGAAACAACGTATTATGGCGTTACTTTTGCAATTATTTTCCTATAAAGTTAGTGAAAACGGTTGATCTGGACTCCACGAAGTCGTACCTTTTCATCTGTGTTCCTCATGGTATTTTGTCAGTGGGATTTGTGGGTTCTTTCGGGACAGACGCGGTAGATTGCAAAAAGCTATTCCCCGGAATGGACATGCGTCCAATTACCCTCGAGCAACATTTTAAAATACCTTTCATGAGAGAATATGCTTATTCTTTGGGTAAGTATTTATAGCAGTTCTCACTTGTATTCATTAAGTTTCTTTTGCGCAGCGAGTAATAAATCAATGGCAGAAACGAATTCTTTTATTCTATTTAAAACGAATTCTTTTATTCTATTAAAAACAAAAAACTAAATTGCATTATTTTTTATTAAGAAAGTTTTTTTAAATTTTCTTAAAGATGTAATTTAATCATTACAATAATTTTTGCATTACAAAGAAATATAAGATTAAAAAGATTTTTTTAGAGAGCAAAGGCAATACTATTTTATATGTAAATCTTTAATCGACATTATATGTCATGACAATAATTGAATAAGTAAGCTATTATTAAGTATTATAGCATTAAGAACTTGGTCTAACGACAAAAATACACGCAAATAACGCAATTAAATTTTTTATAGGCGCCTGCTCTTCTAACGCGGAGAGTATCGAGTACTTGCTATCAACACCGCCGGAAAGCCCGGACACCGGAAGAATTACAATTCTCATTATCGGCGGTGCTTCTGAAGCGATGGAATCGAGGCCAGGCGTTTATTGCACTCTTCTAAACAAAAGGAAAGGCTTCGTAAAATTGGCGCTAAAGCACGGGTAAGCGATTACTCGCTTTTATTTTTGATAAGTACTATCGCGCAAATATGACTCACAAGGAAATCATATGCAGCATGAGTTACACTTATGCGGCTTTTAATCCAATTTCAGCACGCACGAAGAAAATTTGTGCTGCAATTTATTCCGATTGTGTACTAGTTCCTAGATCAGAAAAATACGGAAAAATACGGAGCATAATACAAGAATTATATCGCGTGCAAATACGCGATTTAATTTTAATCCAATTCTGTAATACAGCACCTCGTTGGTTCCTGTTTTCTCCTTTGGCGAGCCGGATTTGTTCAATCAGTTGTACTATCCAGAAGGATCAATTGTAAAACGCATCCAACACTATATTCGCAATATCATAGGACTGGCACCTATTATATTCTCGGGTAGAGGATTCTTCCAGTATTCGTTTGGCATAATTCCGCAACGATCACCCATCACCGTAGTCGGTAAAATTCTTTTTAAACATTCGCAGTCTGTTACATACGTTAACATTCCATGCAATGAAAGAATCAAGAGTCTTGGTATCTTATTATTATTGTTATTCTGTTAGAATCTGTTTTATATTTTATATTTTCTTATATTTCAGTTGGCGATCCTATCGAGTTACCGAAAATAGAGAAACCCACGACTGAGCAGATTGACGAATATCACAAAAAATTCACAGAAAGTTTGATTAATCTCTTCGAAACACATAAACATAAATACATAAAAAATGCGGAGACCACTAGCCTGGAGTTCTACGGATAACACATATAGGATGATTTAAATTCTAAATTAAATGGTTATTTCAGAATTTGGATTGAGGGAATCGTGATTTTTTGTTGGATGTAAGCAAACTTTTTTTACACATTTATTAAAATATTTTATAGATTTTTTATATTTCATATAGATAATAAGTATCGAACAGAAGATATAAACACACATAAAAATGTTTATTGCATTCAATTTAGTAACATGATGTCACCATCATCATCTTCTATACAAATTAAATATCCAGCATTCCTATATCGTACTAATCATACGTTTTAATTAATGTTAATGATCTCTTCAAATGTTAATAATCTTTCTTCGAAAAAAAATTGAATTTTTTTGCAAATGTTTATGATATAAAATTAATTTGTAATGTGACCTATGCTCAAGTATTTAATACGTGTAGTGTATAAAGAACTGTAGAAAGTTATTTTTTAGAATTAATTTTCGATTGAAATAATTGGAATAATTGCACTAATTGAATAATTTGATTCGATATTGAACAATTTTTGATAATAAAAAAGTCATGATTGATTACTAAAATTATGATTACTAGATCATAATTTTATATGTACAGATAACTTTATATGTATGTGATTAGATCAGATTAAAAATAGAGGGTGCTACAAACACTGTGATTTTCAGAAATATATAATCACATTGATTATTAATTGCGTTCTGATTATCGTTAAGTCATTATTTGCTGATAATATTTTGCAATCGATAGTGTTTATATAGAACTTTATATAAAAAGAATAATTAAAATGGCGAGAATTAAAGCTCCAAAACTCCAAACACTTGTTCTTAATACCTGCAAAAAATATTTCCTTTTATAACGGAATATGTTTTATTGCTTATTTATCGTACCTTATTTTGCCACTCTCTGTGAGCTATACAATCGCGAAAACTCATGCGTGTGAAGTGCACACTGGAATAAAGCGGTACCCAACAGTTGGGAATGTATGTGTACAAAAAATTGTCAAGAAATTTCCGAACAAGGAAAGATTTTTTCGTCACTAAGTCCCTCATCTGGAAGATTGCAAATGCGCGTTCAGATTATCCTTGAATTTAACAACAAAATATTTGGATAAGAGTAGACAATTTCACGAGTGTACATATATACCTCAAGATAATTATACATTGCCAGATCGCATATGGCATGGCCATCATCGCATCGTAATTCCGAAAATTTCGGCAGAACTTTAGCGAAGTCCGAATTGTAACGTTCCATTAATTCATCGAGCAACAGAATATCTTCAAAGCCCTGATAAAAAGAGAAAATATTGCAAAATTAAATACAGTGATTATGTATTTTGTGACTATTTTTTTCTATAAATACTGTAATGTCACGACGAGAAGTCATTAGGTTTTCATATCGATCTGATAAAGTAACTTACTGCGTTCATTCCTTGAGCGTAAAAAGGAACCATCGCGTGAGCAGCATCGCCAACTATAAGAGCAGTTTTCCCGACGTGATAGGGTTTACACTACAAGATACGTAAAGAGATGCTGAATCATGTTTATCTACGCAACTGAATTAATGAACGATTATAGAGTATAAGAAAATTGAGATTAACCTTCACCGATATTAACGTTCGTGGTTCTTGCGCGAAAAATTGTTTTATTAAATTCTGCTTGCCGATCAGCCGCAATAGATCCGGAAAATGCTCAGCGTAAAAAGTCAACAACATCTTAGGCGTCTTGAGCTTTTCGAACACGGAGAACGGGGCGAATAAATTGCCGGTGAACGTGCGATCCTCGTTCGGTAGCGAGGTCATCATAAATTCACCACGTGGCCAAATATGCAGATTATTACCATTCATCGCAAACTTATAAATTGAAAGTATCGATAAATTTATATAATAAAGAAGTAACTTAATTTAATTAATAACTGGATCAATTATTTATATAATGCCTATTAGTTTGATAGAATTTGCGCAGTGTATTCAATATTCGTTAACTCACCTCATTCTTTTTTCCAGACGGCACTGAAATTTCAACGTATCCATGTTCGATGTATGTTTGTGCATAATTAAAGAGCGGTCTCTTAGCCATAATTTTTCGCACTCTCGAGTACGCGCCGTCGGCGCCAATTATCAGATCAGTTTCTACGTCTTCTATCGCTCCCGTTTCCATACTAAAATAAATCGTAATCAATCAGAAAAAAATCGGTGTTTCGTCGTTAATTACTTACTTTAAAAATTTCATTCGTCCTTTTTCCAAGTCGGCATCCACGAGTTTTCTGTTGAAGTTGAGTTGCACCTCCGGATACTCTTCCGCGGCTATTGATAAGATTATAATTGACAAAGTGAGACAAAACTGTTGCTCATTTTTAATTAGATTATGTGTCAAATTAGTTACCCGATATCATGTTCGCGACATAAGACCTTATAAAAAAGCCGGTAAAATGAGACACGTGAATTCTTGCGGCTTCACGCACAACGCGTTGTCATTGGATATCAAGCAAGGTAGGGAACTTTTTCGAACTGAACTAACTCGCACTCTGTCTTATTTGAATAAAATATATTTCAATAAATAAGATTTGCTTAAAGAGAACAATAATGAATCAAAATATTATCTAGAAATCAAATATCATTACAAATATTTGCTTAAAATAAACAATAAGTATAGAATATAATTTTTTAAGTAAAATTTTATCTTGGAAAAAAATTATTTTAAAAAAATTAAAAATATTATTTTTAAAATTAAGAAAAAAATCTTGTAGCATTTCTTTTTCGCATTTCTTGTCGCTGTGAGCATACATCTGCATCATGTGACGAAGTTTATTTGTAATTCAAATTCATATTATGCGAGCAATACAGAAAGCAAACAACTTACCATCCAACAAAACCACGTTGAGATGTCGTCTACTGACAGAATAAATACACTAAATACAAAAATAGCGTATCATGTTAATGTGCGTAAATGCGTAAAGCAAAGTTATGCGCGGGCATACGATTGAAAATAATAAATTGACGAACATACTCACATTTCCTTTGACACTGTCATAAAAAATTTCTTTCAAATTGCCATTCTTATCGTGCAACATTCTGCCACGCATACGACTACCGTGACATTTCACTAAAGCGTCCTCGAGACCGATCGCTCTCAAAGCTTCTCGTCCACGAACTGACAGGGCTAAATTGATACTCTGACCGAGCGAGTTTTCCAGTCGTATGTCTAAAAATTTTATTACCGTAGGTTGATTATTTAATTAATGCAAATTAAGAAATTTAAATATTCGAACCTCATCAACGTGTTAAACTGAATACATTAAGGGAAAAAAATATGCAAACATAAATCGCAAAGAAATATTTTATGACTTAGGATATTGCATTTGTTGAGTGGCAAAAATAGTGACTTCTAATAATAATAAAATTAGCAATCTGATGAATATACATGCTTAGACTTTGACAACTTAGATTTTCAGCAACTTTTACCTGACCGATATTCATAGATGACTACTCGATGACCTCTTTTAGCGAGGAAACACGCAGCTAATGCTCCAACCTACAACGAAGGTAATCGCATTTTTTTCTTTCATATTCTTACTCCCCGAAATAGAAAATAGGATATTTATTCCTTCGACGCACTCCTTACATTGAAATAAATACAAAAGAAGAATAGAAAATTTATTGTTGCACCTCTGTTGCAACCTGCTTATAGGACTAAGATCTCAACACTCAATATGTAAAGACTATTTGTTCTTCGCTTCTCCACCTCGTTCTACGTCGACTAGTTCTTTATCATCAGCAAATTAATACAATTCTAACTTTTTTATTATCGAACAACAATTTAGTTGGAAAGAACTATTAACACGTCTTCCACATCTTTTACTTTATGTAACCATTGCGAGCGAATTTTACTTTTTATTAATGTACACTGAAGAAGACCTGATGGCAGGCAGAAACGTTTGTAAACAATTTTAAACGAATATATTAATCTTCGCACGAAGAACTAGCATTGTGGCTCTTTACGCTCCTACTGATTTTATTTGATTCTGTTAATCACTAGAGCCTTATATACTAATTAATTTAGAAAATTTATTCTTTGCAATTTCACGCACCAAACCGCCCCCGATAACGGCGATACGCGATTTTCCTTTCACTTCTGCCATATCTATTCCGTGGTGTACCGTGGCTATCGATCAACTGTATAGTAAACCATCCTCACGCACCCCATATATATACACCTCTCGCACCTCATATATATCGATGTCTAGATTTAACACAAAAGTAACTAGTAAGCCGCGCAAAGAAATTATTGAGACAATTGACACTGTTAGAGAATTTATGTATCTCGTAGTCTGCTCAAAAGTTCTCGAACAAACATTCTAATATATGTTTTTTTAATGATATACTTTATTTCTCTTATCAACTTTTTCGACATCAATCTATTCCCATAATCAAGATTGACGTTATCTTGACGCGACTACAAACTTTGTTCTCGGCAAACTAAATATATATGAAGGTAACTCTGCCTTCATATATATTTAAATTTGTGTATTTTATTTATTTATGTGCCTCAAAGTTTTCGAACAGACACGATGGATTTTCGTAATTTCGAGATATTCGGATAAAATAATGGTACTAATTAATTATATCCTCATTATTAAATCATAATTTTTGGCAAGCTATTCTTACGCATTATATAATTCTATGAAAAAAATTAATGGTTTTAATATCGCGAAAATAAAAAAATCCAAAACAAAGAGAAAAAAGAATTTTTAATAACAGAATTAATTGTTTGCAGGCCACATAGGTGCAACAATTCACGAGTAAAGTGTACCTTGAATAATAAAGCAGTATTCAGATGGAAATAAATAAGAATAAATGCGTGTAAAACATTGTGCACACATTTTCGGAGTAAAATGAGATAAAAACAATAAAAGATTTTTGAATAATGTAAATATTTCTTTAAAAGATGACCTCTCTGGAAAAATTTTAAGCTGGAATTATGCCTCCCTAAGGAATCGTTTTATATGTACAAAAAGGTAAAGAAATTTTACTGTGTTATAATAATTGTATTATCTGATTTTTGGTAAATCGAAACGCGCGATCGATGAACGGTTCATTCATTTGCGGAACGCGGATTGTATATGCATAGACAACAACGAAGCTCTTACTCTTTGTTGTCAATTCAATTTTGAAAAAATTAAACCAAACCTGACATACGATTCACCAACAGATCGCCAGAGATGCATGGAAAGAGTGGAATGCCACATAAAGGGGCGCAACGACGTCACCGTCGCCGTCGACGTCGTCGACGTCTTCTTCGTCATCGCCGTCGCCGTTTCTCCCTGCGTGGCCGGCACTGTCCGAAAAATCAAAAATAGCCGAATGTACGGCAGTCAGTGCGGCGATGTCGACGGCGAACGACGTTTCGGCGGTACGGTACGGCCGATGGTGGTGGTGCTGGCGAAGAAGAAGGCGGAGTACTGCTAACCGCGGCCCTGCGATGCCGACGACGACGACGAGGACGGCGACGGACTATCCGGGGACGACGATTGTCCTTCTCACCGTGCTGGCGTTGGTGTCGGCCCTCCTGGGCCACGTTGACGCCGCCGCAAGGACGAAAGCCGAGGAGTCGGCCTCGTCCCGCGGCTCGGCCGGCAGGCAAAAGGAGGCCGAGCCGGTGATCGAGGAAGTCACTGCCAAGCAACTCGAACGGCTCCTCAACGAGAAGGACTTTGTTGCCGTGTATTGGTGTAAGTGCCGCCGCTGTCGCTGCTGCTGATCCTGTCGCTGCTGATGTAACCGCGATCGTTCGATCTTATCGCGTTCGGACCGCGGCGTCGCACCGCGATCGTCGTGATGAGCGCGTCTTTTCTGGAGCGAGTAGCGCGCGACAGGTATGGCGCGATCCTCGGATTCATGATACGCGAATTCATCTGAGAAAGAATTTTTTTGCATTAATAATTTATAATGGAAAATAGTTCAGCTTTTACAATGAGTACGCGAATCGAACGTGCTCAGGAATTATGTCAATGCCGTGATTTGTTTTTTTTTTTTTATTTCATTTGCTAAAAATGATGATGATGGAATTTCTCATAAAATTGCGCGGCGGTCGCGCGAATGGAACTGTGCGAAATATAGAGCTCCCCGCATCTAAATTCGTATCGACATCGAACTCACGTTTCAAATCGTGCGGTTTGGCACTTGAGCGGGATGCTAGACGCCCCGCATGACTCGCCATTCTTATTTTCCTATCCGCGCATAAGAAAATGACAATACATAAGCATAGGCATATGTGCTTTTGATAAAAAAAAAATTTTTCCATCTCAAATCAATGATGCGATACCACTGCAGGCGATAATCAGTATTTGCATATTATTCAATAAAAATTAAACAAAAATTAAAAGTTTACTTATGAGATATAATATCTATAAGTGATAGTAAATGATTAAAACCAAAATGACGTACGCAATAGTGTTGTGATAAATAGAAAGCAACACAACGTGAAAATCAACAGCAAACTAATAAAATATTCAATGTAAAATCTTAACTCGGCGAATTATGATGCTACAATGCGTAGTTTCTTGAGATGTTTTTAAAAAGCAAGAAATTTATTTACTGATACTAGATATACATCTATCCAATCGGGTATCTTTCAAAGTTTTCCATATTCATTTCCCAGTAAAATTAATTGTCACATTCGACGCACGGTTTTCTGCGATCTTCCTTCGCTCGTTATGGCATTAAAGTGATTTATTTTCGTTAACCGTGAAAACGCATTAGCATTTTCCGGGCTCACGTATATTATATAACGCGAGTGGGTGTCGATGAAAGCCACAGTCCGAGTTACGGAATACCGTTCGTCATTGAGACCGTTCTATATGCAGCAAATAAAAGAAGCAATGCTAAGCGAGAAGTACGGATTTTTTTAAACAATCACGGCTTCATAAGGCATTACTTTCCGGTATTGTTGATGTGCACGCTTCACAAACGATAGTTATACGCCCGCAAATTGCCCTCACGTGAGAATTAACAGGTATTAAATCCTCTCCTCCTGCCAAGTGCTACGACCGCTCAGTAGGACAGTCTGTCTCGAGGTAGCCCGCCGAGCTTGCTAGTCTAACAGACTAACGCTTCATTTATTTTCAGTGTTATAACGATCTTCCGCTAATCGCCCATAAAAACTATCAAAATAAATCAAACGGTTTCCATTTGGAAAATTTGTTATTGCATCGATATTGAATTGTCATATGCTGAATATATCGAAGGTCATATCTCATGTGGCAGCAAGCCAAATGCACGCTTTTCGAAGCTGCCGAAAGGTAATTGATGTAAGAGAATCTTCCTTTTTTTTTCAATGGACAAATCAAATGTCTGGGAATGTCTCTTTCTCTTACGAGGATAAATTCACGATCTTAAGCAAATCTACGTTTGATCAAGTCTTATAAACGTGTCTTTAGAGTATTCGAAGTACTGAATCACGTGGCTTTAAGGGATGGAATTTTAAGTACTGTACTGTGCGAGTTTCGAATTAAAATCGGGGAAAGACAGGTCCAGAGCGTTTGCTTGCTTGACTCAGGAAATACATATAGCGAGAACTGACTCATTAGCGTGACGCATAGCAAGATGCAGAAGTGAGCGGATGATGATAATGTTAATACGTGCTCTGCGTCGAATTTCAGATGCGCTTGTAATACTATTTTTGTAAAACCATGTTTGTGTCAATCGCGCAGCGATTAAGTGCAATTTAGTGCGCAATCGCGCGAAGTTGATAAAAATTAAAAGATATAAGCTTGCTCTCGTAAATTATATTTATGTTTGAATGAAAATGCTTGCAGAAAAATTGAAGATCGCGGAACTTTAAGAAAATGCCAATAAAAAATCGAAAAGAATATAAAGAACGTTATATATGGCGCATATATCTTGTAGGCGAGGCAAGAGAGAGCGAGATTTCCGGAACGACTCGAGATCGAATTCCTGACAACCTGTTCGCCGGTCTGCGTATCACTCGCCTGAGAACCGGGCACGCTTGCCACGATTTTCTCTTGAATCATCTTTTCGTAATACCGCGTGATATAATCGATCCCGGATTTTCGGCCGCTACAGCGTGCGTCGTGTCGCGGCGGTAAGCACAAACTCTTTACCGCGTCGACTCAAAATACACTGTTTCTCGAAATTCAATATTCTCTGCAGTTTCAGTCGCGCGTACAACACGACACAGATGCAGGATGAAGGGCGGGTTGAATCTAAATTGAGATTACAATAACACGCGTGACATAAAGCCACTTGTTGCACCGTAACGGAGATCGGGCTTCGGACTTTCCAACACTATCGCGCCCTCGCGATATGGAAGATGCGGTCCAGGCGGAATCGAAGCCCGAAGCGCATTTCTAGAATTCAAGATTAATCTTCGCGGACGCGAAGGATGATCGTCGGTAGATTTCGCATCGCTTCTTAAATCGCGCTGTAGCAAGGCTGGCGCTCCGGTGGACGCCGCTTTTAGCACACGTTGGAGTTATTTTCGCGCTTTACCACTGAACCCCTCTCGGCTATCGTCGCCGCTGAAAACATAATGCCGTCCCAGCCGCGACCACCCTGCGCATCGCAGATCGCGTTCGGCTCGTCGTCGCGAAACGTAGACCTGTTCGCCGACCGCTATGAGACTCGAAATGAATATCGAGCCGTATCGAAGCGATCGGAGGACCCCGGAGGACCCGCGGAGGACCCGGACGAGCTCGCGTGCCGAGCCTATTTCCAGACGCCGCGTCCTCGGTTCCGCCTGTGCGCCGTCGCCGATGGATGAAATTTTTTTCCTAGCTTCGTAATTACACCGGGCTTGCGCTTACTATCTTAGGATCGCTTAAAATCCCACTACTTGCTTCCATGAATTATCCTTTTCTCGCGATCGAAAAATCGAAGCGAGAATCGTGAAAATTGTTGAAAGAGTTATTGGAACGTAACGGCGGGATCGTTTCATAAAATTGATACTTTCTGAAGAATTATATTTCGAGAGCCGGAGAAGGAAAGAAGGAGGACGGTTATCGAAATACGATAGAATCGACTGGCGAAGCGTCGGAGGACCCAGACGACGAGCTCTCGCGTCGAACCTATTTCCAGCTGCGGCGTCCTCGCGGCTCGTGTCGCCGTACGCTTGTGTCGAATTCTTTTCCCCTAGATTATCGTTTGGTTTATATGAGTTAAAATGATAACTCGGGATCATTATTGAAGAATACACATGTTATCACATGTCGCTGTTTGAATAGAATCGTAAGATAGATCTATATAAGTTTGATTGGAATATTAATATCGTTAAATATTACTATTTGTCAAAAAATCTAGTGCTAATTAATCCATTGATTAATATTGATTAATATCATTTAATAGCAAATAAAGTAAACACAATTATTTGATTATGTTTAAAAAAAATAAAATTAAAATTTGCAATCCTTTAAATATCGCTGTTTAAAGATATCTCGCTGAATTAGAGCAACCGTGTGACGTTTATAAACATATTTTTCCTGAATTAGGTCATCAAAAGCGACAAACGTAAGCAAATTGAAAGCTGAATGTTAAGAATCCTAATATTCGAAATAATTTAATTGCATTGTATTTATATGATCCGCGGCAACAAGATGACTAAAAAAAAGTGTGGGAGTTAAATCTGATAAAATATTTGAGAGAAAAATGATTTGATTAATTCTGACATAATATTCTTAACTATTCTAAATTTTTATTTTTTATCGCATTTTTTCGACGAAAACGAAATTCATACGATGCATTCTTAATGTAACGATAGCGTTGGTGGCTCAGCGTTTCGAGAGCCCTAGACACCCTTTCGGCCAGAAATCTAAAATTATTCATATCCGCTATGCGGGATGTTTCTTCCGCCTTTGCGTCACGCCGCTGTGAAACACTTATTCCGCATGTACACATGGCCCATTTCCTAGAACCGTCTGGTCAATGGATTTTACAAAATATATGCATATATGTATAAATAGATACTATATGTATACATACATACAATACATCATGCAATTTTTTCTTTATTTTTGAATTGTATAGTCTTTAAAAATTAGTTTCTACATTTTGCTAGAAATGCAAAATAGGAAGCAATTAAAAATAACTTTTTTTAAACTTTGCTAATTTAAATTATCAAATGCGAGTGACAGCGAGAAAGTGATTTATCTCGACGTACAAGAAAAGTTGTAAATACGATTTTCCGCTTCTGACATTGTAATTCAATACAGTTACAATGCAAAATTAGAAACCTATAAACCAGAAGAACTCTGCAGATCGATTCGATCGTAACTCACGTGCTTTTTTTTAAAAAAAAAAGAGATGTCTCTTCTACGCTTGCGATTTTCAAAGCGTAACAGCAATTTGGGCCATTGCATGGGCGGCTCGAGCTCCCGTATAGATAAATTCGCGCGAGTGAAGAACGGCTCACGAATAGAGCGGAAACATTCCACGCACGTGCGACGATTAGTCTTATTCGATCGCGAGGCGCGCTGCCGTGAACATTTTGTCTTCTATTTCTGGGGGAAGGTTATATCAGCAAAATGTGTTTAATAACGGACGCAATTCCATAGCGATATTGATATCAATTTGAGAAAATATAATAAACGTGCAAATTGAAAGAAATGTAAATGGAAACATGTGATAGAATAATAACGAATTGATTAGATTCCATTTTATTGTTATCGCAGAATTTGAAACCCCAAGCAAGAAAAATAAACAATTCTAATCGTATTAATTAAATAACTAGAGGGAAAAAATAATTTATGATTTTTTGCTGTTAACCACGAAATATCTTCGAAACAATCTCTATTCGAGAAAAGTATACATGTTCGTGTATCCATATGCGATACAAACCGAAATATACAGTGATGATTAGCGCAATTTATTTCTACGTTTATGCCTCGTACCGGCGGTTTGTTTGCACATTATATGCCTGGTGGTTTATTTATGTTGTTACTCCACTTTACTTGGGAGCGTCTCGTTATTTCGGCGGAATTTCGGGATTGAGGCAATGTATTTCCTTCCACTCTCTCATATCTCGAGAGGAGTCTCTTTTGTACTAATCGGATTTTCCCTACATGCGCGCTTAGCGGAAAACAGCGACGATCACGAGCCAAACGTGTGTCCTAACGGCAAGACACCGCGGTCCGTCTTAATTTACATACTGTCGGTCGTTACTCCACATAATTGTAAACGGGAGCATCTCGAGGGGCGCCCTTGGCGGAGATATCCGCGGACAACGGCGACGAAGACGAGAAGCCGACGACGAAGGCGGTATGGGCGAGGCCGTTCGTTCTTGTATTTTTAGTGGCTCGTAAACCAGGCACTGGCCGTCGTTCGATCTCGTCATCTCTCTTCCTCGTATAGCGGCGGCGTACACTGTGCGATGATCAAATAATGAGACTGATTTTACTTTAAAAAAAGGACTTTCTACAATAAAAATTAGTGGGCGCAATGTGTGTCACACACACATTAAGACACTTTACGATTCCTTCTGCAAATCATTCCCATCGTTAATTAATCATATTGCTAGCAGAAGAAATGTATTTTTTATGAAAAAATTAATTTTTTTTTATAAATGGAGAGTAAAGTGATGTTTTTATAATTGTTGCGGCTTTTTGAAGTAAAATCAGTTTCTTTAGTTGATCGTTAAGTTGTGTATGACACGCAGTTTTTTTAACGTGATTGTTTTTATCCTTTTTCCGATTCGTTTGTAAAAAAGCATTTGATTCTTTATCATCTTTACATGTTGAGAAGATGGAGATGAGATCTCTGAGCGCTTACCGATTGGAATCAATTGATAATCGTGAAGATTTATTACATTGAATTCGCAGCTGATCAATCGAAACTAATCCGAATGTCGAGGTCAACCAACAAACGCCTCCAATATACCATTATTCGCCAGAGACAAACGTAATTTAGTTAATTGTCGCGCCTCATGGCAACTGCCGATGCGACGACGAGCATAATAATTCTAAAAGCGCACCTGTCGTCTTCACTCGCAGGCAATAGCGCAAACGCGAAGTGCTGCCTGTTGTTGTTCGTGAAATAATTACATGTGATGTTGACGAATGCATCTCTCATTTGTGCGTGACATTGCATCCATTCGTACATTACTGCCCATTTCTTTTAGAAGATAATTTTATACGTTTAATTCGCACGGTTTCCACTCCGCGGTGACAGATTTGCAAATGATTCCAACGCATCGCATCGTATTTTCATTCTTCTCTCAACAATTTCGGCACAGCGAAATGTAAAACGGATGAGTGATAAAAATATAGGCTTGTTTACAACGCTGTACTTTATATTTATTCGCGCGATGCCCTGTATTTCGTCCCGTTTCGCGGTGATTCTTTTCGAGAATAAAACGAATGAGAATATCATATTTTTAAACTTATTCCATATAAAATTATTTTTAGAAATTCGGCGCAAAATAATGATGTTCAATAAAAATCAGAAATCTCGATCAAGCTATGTGTAACTTAGCCGCCGTGATTCACCGCTGAAAGTTCCTTGATTGTGAGACTAGCTGTACGTGGGATTTTCGAATGATTCACTCAATACATTTTCAACTTACGAGACACAAAATCCCATAAAATATTTTGTTGATCGCTAATCGGTAAGCCAATTGATCGAAGACAACGATTACTCGTCCTTTCCGCGAGCATCTGTTCGCCGAACCTTTTTTTATCCGTATTCGCTAATTGGGTTGTCGCCCAATTTCTCTTGACTTTCGATTATTACGGCAGCAATCGGTGGACACGGTCCAATTTATCTGGCACGACTTTTCGAGGATTCCTTCGTTCTGTCTCTCTCGCATATCTCATTCTCACCTTGTGCCTCTTAGTCAGACCATTCTGCCAAACGTTTCGCGGGGGTGTCCGTTAACCAAATGCTATTGCATTACTCTTGGTGACGGGGAAACGAAGAGGCGAAAGAGAGACAGAGAAAGACAGAGAAAAAAGGAGAGAGAAAGAGAAAAAAAGGAGACTGAGAGAGAAGAAACGAAGAGAGAGGCAGATATACATGATCGCACAGAAGCAAAGAAGCGTAACGAAAAGAGAGGCCGCTTCCACAAACGAATACAGATGCAGACAAACCGAAAGCGAGAGAGTGAGAGCCGAGAGCGAGCGAGAAGACAACAGAAAGAGAGGGGAAGAGAATCGGAAACCACCTCTCCTGTTTCTTCTAGCTCTATTCTGAGGAAGTCGCCACCAAAAATGGCGGGGCGCGCGAAACGTGTACGCGAGGATGCGCGCGGCATTGCTTCGCTGTCGTTATCATCGACGTTACCGCGAGGTGTAATCGAGGTTCTCGCGTGATGCGAAACGCGACGGTGGTTGACCAAGAGCGAGGAAAACCATCGCGGGGGCAAACATCTCGATAACTATAGCCAATGATTGTAACCCAACACCTGCCGTCGCCGCCACCGCCGCCGCAGTTGCCGCAGAAGCAGCGGTTCTGCCTCTACGCTCGAATGAAGCGCAGCCCGCCAAGAATGCACGCGACTGCCAAGGCAAGAGCGATAAGGATAAAAATGCGCAAAGAAGAAATATCGATTTTCTCTCGCAGTCACGTGAAGCGTCCGCTCGAAGTGAAGCGAGCACTCAAAATAAAGAGCGGAATGTAATTCAGTTTAATTTGTGCCAAACGTTCAATTTATATATTTACATATTTTCACTTCCAATAAACATCTCCGTGTTCAGTGCACTTAGCACTTTCTTGAAATTCGCTTAACCTGCCCAGATTTCAATCAAGTTGCTACACTTGCATTTTTAGCCGATAATTACCGCGCATTTCTATATCCTTGCTTCTTATCATTCGGATGCTGCTTTCCTCGATTAAATAATAATTATATGATAATGATTTCTTTATAGACGCTCGGAGTTGCACTACATGCGACAAGGTCCTGGCCGAACTGGAGAAAATCGACGACGATACAGACCACTTTGGAGTCGACTTTGTCAAGATCAACGATAAACGACTGGCAAAGCAATATGGTATCAAGAATTTCCCGGCTCTTACGTATTTCCGCGAGAAAGAACCAATTATATACGATGGTAAGTTTTCTCTTCAATTGTTTGCAAAGTTCTCCGTTAATAAACGTCTAAACGCAAAATAATTTGCTCTAAAGTAATGAATAATAATACAAAATTTGTTGATTTGAAAATCAACTGCGATGCAATAAGATAATAAACAACAGTACTCATCTTCTATAAATAAGTCATTGTGTAATCGATTGTATCTAACAAAACAAAAACATGTTTTTTTCAGGTGACCTGATGGACGAGGAAAATGTATTGGATTTTCTCACGAGTCTGGAAGCGATGGATTTACCGGATCGCATCGAAGAAGTTAACGCAAAAATCCTGACGAAAATTGTCGAGGATACGGACTTCGTGGCGGTTCTTTTCTGTAAGTTATTTTCTTCTACTTATAAATCAATAAATTATACTTCGGAAGATCGCACGCAATTATCCGGAACACGTTCTCCGTTGTTCTCCAATGTTTAATGTATTATTTCCAGTAAAATATCGAGCATGTTGTCTCGCTGTGAAATGTTTTCCAAAGAAATTCCATGTAAAACGTAGGATATTACTTTGAAAAATTAAACAAATTGACGACATCGATAAAAAGTATCTGCATTTTTAGATACAAGCGTTTTCCGGATTTTTTTCACTGGAAATTGAAGGATTTTATATCTACATGTTAATTAAAATATAAAATAATAGAAAATAAATTATATTCCAAAGTTCTTACATTTCTATATTTAAAAAGAAAATATTGTAAAAATAAATTTGATAAAAAATTCCAATTTTTCAGTACTTTTTATTGTAGTCGTCGAAGTGTTTAATTTTAAGAAATCAAATAGAGACAATTTTAATAAGCAGTAAAATGGTAACAGTTAAAATAATCAAATTAGGAAATATTTTAAAAATTGTTCTCTCTGCGGAACCATAAAACGCTCCTCACGGAATTGTTATATGTAGGACGTAAAAAATAACGAATACACCAAAAGTTTTGGTGTTTGAGTACAATAATTCCCACAATATAAAAAAAAGAATTGAGAAAATTCAGAGCAAAGTGGTCGCTCGCGCCTAATTAGACGTTCTCAATTCTGACCTAAAATAAGTTTACGGATTTTTCAAGTAATGACAAAAACATGAATATTCCCAGGATGTGATTGGTCTCAGCTGATGCTTTCGAAACAATTTTTCAAAGTAACATAACACAATCCGTATACCTCGTGAGATTCCCGCTCGTTCGAAACCTAAGCTCCTGAAACTAAGTTCTAGGCTAGTAATCGTGTCAGTCGGCGCCAAAAATCAACGGATACACAGCAATGCTACGTAATGTACCCTGACCTCCATCCATACATCCTACCGTTCATTTAACTCGTTAATATCCGACGTCTCACTAATCATTTGTGTACGTCTCGTGTGCGACGAAGTTGTGCTCGTTATAAAAATATTGCGATTAACTTTTCCGTGAATTGATTACAATTTCAAGGACTTCCGCAATATGCACGTTTATTTCTGAACAATAGATTAGTAAAATGGCAGTTTTAACGAGACGGCTCAGATCTTTTTCCGCCGTTATCACGAAGTTCTTCATTGTATTTAGATGTACAGAGTGTCTCAAAACAATCGTACGACCTGTTAATAGCAGACTTCTGAGGTCATTTGAAGACAAAAATTTTTATATCAAAATGTCGAGGTACGATCAATCAGTGCTTAAGCGCGTGAATCTTTTACAATCTGATTGTCAACTTTAAATACTTCCCATTTAAAAACTATTTTGACTTTTTGGTATAAAGATTTTCTTTAAGTGATCTCAAAAATCTGATGTTAACGGGTGATACGGTTGGTTTGGCATATATTGCACATGCATTATCGTGTACAGTTTCATGGTTCTTCTAATTTCATAAAGAAAACTTCAGAAAGAAATATTTTTTTCTCGTTGTGTCTAATGATCGATTTTACCAACTAATCAAATGTTAAAACATAACATTCTGTTAATCGAGAGCAATAACTGTTCTCTGTACAAAGTGTACTGTCTATATCGGTTTGTCTACCTTTGTAAAGTCTCTACTCTCTATTGTCTCTACTGTTTTTGTCTTTTGTTATTGTTCGTGTCGATGTTTATCGAGTTCAAATATCAAATCGCAAAGTGAGAAGCTGGATCGATGTAGCAGATCCATTATCGTAATTTACAATTTCACATTAATAAAAATAATAAAATCATCATGTAAGGATAAGTGATCATGTCGCTCACTTTGCGATTCGATATAACATACAACATACTTGTAAATAATACATATATGTGAAAATTCTTGTGTGTGTTGATACGGATAGGTCCGGACACGGAGCGGTGTGCGGGCGCCGGTTCTAGTAAGTACATATTTATAAGAGATCGATGTTTCTCTCCACCTGTGACAAAGCATCTACACCCTCATGCTGCTTTACACACACATACACACCGCTACATGCATCCAATTATCGACTGGCGCATTAACGAAAGATCACTTTGCAATTGCCACCATCGCAATGCTTCAAGTGAATTTTTTTAAACGCCTAATCCCTCACTGCAATTATATTAAATTACAAGAGCGAAGAATCATACGATTTTTTTTTCGCTTCGCTAAAAGTAAATTGTTTTCTCTTTTTTTTCTCTCTTGTGCGCGAGGAAGTGATTTTTCGCGAGTGCATCATTCGGAGTGACGACATATTGAAACCCGTTCACCCTTGACAAAATGTGTTTCTTTCAAACACCTCCCTTAACTCTGCGTATTCATCGATTATTCAGAATTGTATCTATCGCATCATCCCCCTGCAGCACTTCGCTCCAATGTGTGCGCAACGACAGAGGGATACGGTGCGCGGAGAAAATCGGATGTCAATGGAGCGGCAAGGGCCTTTACATTTCACACGTTTCACTCTCGAACGTTTTTCGAACATACGATGGATACTCTGATGAAATTTCTTAGAAATTGTGTTTAGCAATTGATACGAATTAATCATGTAATTGATAAAGAATCGACTAACATGAAGCTTTCCAAGTTTTCTTCCGTTTTTTTTTTTTTTTTATT